ATGGTTCCTGAGGCATTTAGAAACAAATTTCTATTAGGGTTTGATGCGTTTTGATGCCTAATAAAGCCAGAAAATCAATTTTTGTCGAAATCGGTCCAAAACGGTACAGGTGGCGCCATCTAGCGGCGAGCGGCGGAACTACGAAAAACTAAAATTTCGATTTTCGCGAAAACTAGCGAATTTTAAGTACATCTGAGGATCAGAAATCAATCTGTGACCTCTCTGGAACCTATATGGTGCCACAAGAACCTCCTAAAAGCGCTAGAAAAGGAAATAGAAAAATAGTCCAAAACATGGACTAAAAAATTGGCGTCCATCTAGCGGTGAATGTTGGAACTACAAAAATATAAAAATGCGATTTTCTCGAATATTAGCGAACTTTGAGTACTTGTAAAGCTCAGAAAGTGTTATGTGATCGTATTAGAAACAAAATAAAGCAATAAAAGTTTCCTGAAAGCTTTAATAAAGAAAATTAAAAAAATGTTATTTTATGGAGAGAACTTGTGGCGCCATCTAGCGGCGAAACTGCGAACTAAATTGAAAAAACGTATGTCCGAACACGTGTTACGGGGTCAAATAAAAATTGATTTTTTGGGCTTAATAGGCAAAAAAAATGAATAACTTATTCAACAAAAATTGCTTTAAAATGTCTAAAGAAGCATACTAAATCGTCAAAGTTGCGAAATATTACTTATTATATTTTTCCTCAACGCGCGTTCGGACATACGTTTTTTCAGTTTAGTTCATAGTTTCGCCGCTAGATGGCGGCACAAGTTTTCTCCATAAAATAACATTTTCTTAATTTTCTTTATTAAAGCTTTCAGGAAACTTTAATGCTTTTTTCTGCTTCTAATGCGAACACATAACACTTTCTGAGCTTTACAAGTACTCAAAGTTCGCTAATATTCGAGAAAATCGCATTTTTATATTTTTGTAGTTCCAACATTCACCGCTAGATGGACGCCAATTTTTTAGTCCATGTTTTGGACTATTTTTCTATTTCCTTTTCTAGCGCTTTTAGGAGGTTCTTGTGGCACCATATAGGTTCCAGAGAGGTCACAGATTGATTTCTGATCCTCAGATGTACTTAAAATTCGCTAGTTTTCGCGAAAATCGAAATTTTAGTTTTTCGTAGTTCCGCCGCTCGCCGCTAGATGGCGCCACCTGTACCGTTTTGGACCGATTTCGACAAAAATTGATTTTCTGGCTTTATTAGGCATCAAAACGCATCAAACCCTAATAGAAATTTGTTTCTAAATGCCTCAGGAACCATACTGCGTCGTCAAAGTGCCGAAATATTGCACTTTGCATGTGCAGTAGAATTGATATAGGCGGCTCATGTACGTATCGCAATGCTGACACAAAATAATTAATTACTCATTACCCGAACATTAGTTAGGAACTTTTATGATCGAACCATGTAAATAATGTATTGCTGACCATTCTTTAATCATAAAAGTTCATAAACTGTGCTCAGAAACTTAGCCGGTACACACAGTGGTGACTGATGAGGGCACCTTAATGATCCTACATAATTTTTCAACAATTCTAATAACTGCACTGTAAACTGTGAATGTATAAGTTGGGTTAGATTACATTAGGCTGTGTTAGGTTAGTTATGTAGTTATAATTTGTACACATTAGTGTGCGCTGTAGTACAGGATCTTGAAGAAAGCTAATAAGAATCTGTTGAGATAATAAAGATAATGTATCGATTAATTTGCTTCTAAAAAGTTGAAGAAAACTGTAAGTTATGGAAGAAAATGTGATGAAGACATAAACCGGACGATTGCTTTCTTGCGCTGTATTAAATGTCGTTCATATTAGGCTATTTAGACATATACTTGCCTAATCTGAACACCCCTTATGCAGGTTCGACGCAGCGCCAGCTAGCAGTATTACGCGGAACTACAATAGAAACTTCGCTGGTGGTATATTACCGTTGAAGTGTAATCTATTAATTACCGACAGAATCCGGTCGATACTTTACTCATATTCATCACAGTTCTGCAGTTTGTTGTTACATGGCGCTGTTAACAGCATTTGTGGCGGTTTTTTTAAAAGATTGTTTCATATAAATTCTCAATATTCTTTTTTTTATGTTAATCGGTTGAATAACTAAAAATTAAGTAATCGACGTTCTCGAGAGGAACGATGAATAGCGTTAAAATACTTGGCATAGTCGAGATACTTGTGCTTTCTTCTCAACTGTGATAGTACTTATTTAATAGTGTGTAGTAATCGTGAAAAATCGATCGGTAAAAATTTTAGTGCCATCTAGCGAATGGTGTTTTTATCTTGCTCCTTGTATACTTAAAAATTTATTTTGTTATTTGTATTTTCATCATCGGGCCAACGAGTTCTTCAAAATTTTGAATTCATAATTGTGTTTCTCAATTTGGTGGACCTGACGAAGATCGCTTTCCAATTTTACCAGTAGGGCGCACCGCTGTATCATCCTCTTTCCTTCATCATGGCGGTGAGTGTACGTTTCGTTGCTGCGAAAAGCATTTTTCTAATCCTTAGATATCAATGGCATCGATCTTGAAATAAATACTTTTCATGCATCACAGCGAAAAATGCACTATTAATTTAATATTCCAGAGATTCTTTCGTTAAAAATGTAAGAGTAGAATTTTTTACGTGACAGATGAAGTTTGTGATCAGCGTGTACTACAAATATAACCTAAACCTGTACCATAATGTTTATAATATAATAGTTATATGCATTAACATAAAATAAATGTAGTACTTTAAATATTTCTTGTTTGAAAACATTGATAAATGAAATGTGATAATGGTTTAATATTTGCAGGATGCTAAGAAGGCTCCTGAGAAGAAGGTCGAAAAGAAGTTACAGAAAAAGGTGAAGAAGGAGCCGAAAGATGCATCGAAAAATGTGATGCGCGAAGTTCGAATTCGTAAACTCTGTTTGAATATTTGTGTGGGTGAATCTGGTGATAGACTCACTCGTGCTGCTAAGGTAAATGTTCATAAAAACTGTAATCAAAGTTCCGAGGTTATCAGATATGATCCATTGTAACTGTAATACAATATTTCAACAGGTATTAGAACAGTTAACTGGACAGCAACCAGTCTTTTCTAAAGCAAGGTACACTGTACGTTCTTTTGGTATCCGTCGTAATGAAAAAATTGCTGTACATTGCACAGTAAGAGGTGCTAAAGCAGAAGAAATTCTGGAACGTGGTCTGAAGGTAATTCTAAACTATTGTATTTTAAATTATGGGTTTAAATAGTAATATGAATCTCTAAAATTAATTTGTATTTAAGGTCAGAGAATATGAACTGAGGAAAGAAAATTTCTCTGGTACTGGAAACTTTGGTTTCGGTATTCAAGAACACATTGACTTAGGAATTAAGTATGACCCCAGCATTGGTATTTACGGTTTGGACTTTTACGTTGTACTTGGACGCCCAGGTTAGTTTCATTTAATTTCATGAAAATATAGAATTAAGTAATTGCACATTTATTTAAGATGCCACTGTAATAGGTTGTGTCTATTATTTTTTTAAATATGTGCTAGAGCAAAACGCTTCATATTTGCAACCCATGCCCACTTCTTTCTACTGGGTGTGTTACTCAATTGGAGCTACACTATATAATAAAAATTATAATTTCATATTGTTAAAAATATTGGATAATAATTTTAACAATATGAGTTATTTAATGATAGAATATGAAATTTTATAAATGATACAATGTAAAATGTTTCATGTTTTATGCACAGGTTTTAACGTAGCGCACAGGAGAAGGAAAACTGGAAAAGTCGGTTTCCAACACAGACTTACCAAAGAAGATGCAATGAAATGGTTCCAACAGAAGTATGATGGTATTATTATAGCTGGAAAGAAGTAATATACATATTTTGTATCTTACAAATCTTTCATAAAAATTTTGAAAACAAATTAACAACTATCTAGTAAATATTTCTTTGTACTTTCAATTCCTTTCCCTCAGTTTTTTTCACACAGAATATTCCATTAAAATTTTTGTACTGTAAGACTTTGGTTTCCGTGGCAATAAAATTAGAAAAAATAATGTTATTCTTATAGACTTTATTTATAATTGTCATACCATCAAACACAAAAATATTTCAACACATTCGAATTCTTGCAAAGCAAATGATGTATTTTATGATTATACCACTAAGAACTACACAACCTTTTCTTAGCTTAGAGTTAATTATTCAGATAATTATTACTGCTACTTATAAAATGAAAAAATCATAGCAATAAATAGTATAATTAGTAAAAATATAAAAGGCCGTCATTCATGAATACATATATATGGTTTCTATTATTTTACATATTGTTTATGACAACTTCCTGTTACATAATACGTCTAAATAAATTAATGCAGAGGCTAAATCATCGGAGGATATGATGACTTAAATCTATAGGCCCAGTTTTTTACAATATCTGAAAGGAACTTTGTAGTATAACAATAATATACATGTTTTGTAATAAAGATATTGAATTCAAGAAGAGAACATTTGTATTCTTTGGAATAATATATTTTACACTTCTTTTCTTATTGTTAGTTCTTTGTGATACATGAAATATATTGAATTCTAGTTTCAGATAACAAAGAGATGTTTTCAGTATAGATATGTTTTAAATGATGTTTTGATAAATAAAAATAAAAATTTCATATTCCCCTGAGTGTGATATTTCATTTTTTGTGTAACTATTAATTGCCATATAGAAATTTATTAAAACAAGATGCTAATTGTATTAAAAAATTCGTAATGTGGAACTATTTTAATAAATGCTAAAATACATATTTTAAATGAACCGCAGCCAAACTGAGACAGTTTACTAATGTAGTTATATCACTTAAAATATTGCACATTGATAGAGATTCTTTGATTATACAACCGGATTAAATGAAATGATTGAGATATAGAGCTAATTTTAATAACTTAAGGTGTAACGTCTAATTTCTTATGGAAAATAGCCATTGAAACAAGCAATGCATTTAATGTTTAATATGTTGTAATTGATTAAATTTTTGCTTTAATTTAATGTAATTTAAAATGCGTGAAATAGAGTTATAACAGCTATATAAGAAATGTGCTATAAATTTTCATTTAATGATCATAAATAGTTACATTATAATACTCTCATGATACTTAGCTTGACGTAACAGGCAGATAAAAAGGCAAGATATTTCCCTCAGTCTCCAAATTGTTTCCTTGTCTGGACGTTACATGTTGAAACTGGTATTAATTATTTAGTATTTATACATATAACATGTATAACGTATTCTCTCCTAACAAATAGACATATGTATACATAAATTTATACAATCCATATTCAAGGATCCAAATAGTGCCGCAACTTATGATTAATAAAATTGAAAATTTATGCTATAATAAATTATACACACATATACCTACTTACATTTTGCTTCTTATCTTTTACCTTTATATCAGAAAATTTTCTCTCTCTTAGCACAAAAAGGTAAATGTAATTAGTCTTTTGCATTGGAATATGTGAAATATCTTTAGCTCATATACTTTCATATTGTTTTCTTCAACATATTAAACATATGTACATGTTACAAACTTTAGCACTACATGCATGTAACACATGTTTGATATATTAAATATATAATAACGCCAAATATATATTAATATAATCTGTAACACATATTTATACATATATATGATAACATATACATTTGAATATGATATTAGCATGTATAAAAACTATGTAATATATTATATGTATAATGTTGATTAACAATTTAATATCCAATGCAAAAGATTAAATCATTGCCTGTATTTTATCCTTACTCATATATGTACATACCTGCCATATTACAATTTTTGTTTATGACAAATCTTTATATTAAAAAGTTTAATGTAATAAAATCATTGTAACAAAAAAATCACTTTCATAATTGTCTCTATGCAATGCATCGTATATAATTTACGCAATATTTTTACATTTTGCAAAACAATTTTTCTCTAAAAATCTAAAATATAATTTGCATTATTCTTCGTAAATTAAAAATCAGATTATATTTCTAATACTTTGAAAACTACATTTATATCTTGATTATATAATTTAATAATATATCTAATGTACGTTTAAAAATACTGTAGCATTGCAAGCTTATGAAAGAAATTTTATTCTTCAAAGAAATTATTTAATTGTCTAATATTTTTCAGGTATAATGTATTAGCCTAGTCACAATAAATAGCTGAATACATTTGCGATGAATTGTGTGTAATTGAGGTTTATGTTTAAAGTGCTTGCACAAATAGGTATACAATATACATATTTCATTATAATGATGATTTATTATTTTAGGTATTTTATTTCTATCCTTGCATTTTTAAAGATTTAAAAAAATGCTCAGTTTTGATATTTTCCTTGTTTTTACATGCACTTATATGAAGTTACCAAAATTATTGGCAATAGAAAGTGTTGGCATTATAATTTTGGAAAATATTAGACTACATACTTAGAAAAGTGAAACTAAACAGTGGTAAATTCTAAAGCAGTGCAGCTACATTTTTGTAAACATATGTAAAATATTTTAAAATATAGGCATTGAGAAAAAAGGCAGCACTCTATTTAAAAAAAGTCCATTATAAAATTTGTTAAGTAATTAAAAAATAAGTTTCATTACTTAAAATCAGTTTTTTTATAAATTTATTTATAAAATTTGTATATATGTTAAAATTTGATTGATATACTTGTAACATTATGTTTTATTTAAAATGTATCTATTGTATGAATTTAAAAAAGCAAGCAAATTTAGTGCACAAAAACTAAATTGTACAAAAATTTCTCTAATCCAACTAACTGTTAATAATTTTTAGTGACCATCATTTACTTAAAGAAAATATATCTTAATTATTTGATGTGAAAATTAGAATAATGAAATAGGTAAACACAGAATATCAGCCTTTCAATTGTAATTCAACAATTACATTAATTTATTTAATTGCTAATATATATTCCGCACCAATCTAGAAGCTCGTTAAAAATAATCGAAATAAGAATTCTACAATTTTCGCGATAAAAATGGATATAACAGTTCTATGAGTTGTTATATTAATCAGACATACAAATTCCAATTTGTACGGATTGATTTTAGATAGAATGTGAATGAAACATGATTCGTACCTGATTTCTTGCAATAGTGGTAAATAATAGTTCATCTGATTACTGAAACTAATTGATGAAAAAGCATCAGAATGTGTTACTTTCTTGTTGATCTATATATTTTATCAATATTGTGCTTTTCAGCTTCACTGAATCCTAAGATGCTTTCAATAGCATTCAGATGACCATGATGATTTTCTTTGTCAGTTAGGAAATAATAGATAGCTGATTTTAGGAACTGTAAAGTTATCTCTGGATCAAGGGCACCTTGATTACTTCTTGCTTCTACGATGCGTCGATACATTGCCTGTTAAACAAATTAATGTTAATAATAATTTTGTTAATAATTTTTTTTTTATGTGTTACTTTGTGTGTCGTGTTTTAAATAACATACATGTTTTGCCAGTGGATTATTGTGTCGATTAGATCCAGATACAATAAATTAAATTTGTGGCAAACAAAGTGCAGCTGTGATAAAGTTAATTTTTAATAAAATAGCACACTAATGTTAAAATAAGTTTATTCCCTTCTGGATCTAATATTTCTACAGTGACTCACTATTGTGTGTGACAGTGCGAGCATGTGATGCTTAAGCACGTGCAAACTTACATTAACTGAAGAATAATAAATAAGAGGCTGTTTCTTCCAAGCGCACATAGAAGTCTTTTTGAACCTAATAATACTGCATAATAGAACAAACCAACTACATTTGTGTTTAGTAATTGACATGCAGTCACTGTGGCAAAGCGTTTAATATTAATACATTCTCTTAGAAAAACCTTGTCATAATATATGTAACTCATAAATGAGAGCACGTGAAGCCAATTCTTGCCACTATGATTTACCTATGTTCGCTATCTAAGAATTATTATGAATTATCATTTTTAATGAAGAGATTGGATTTATTCATAATATGGAAGATTTGATGATTTTGAAAGCCTACTGTAATTGAATTATTAAGAAATGTATAATAGAATACTAATATGAATGTATGAATAGTAAAAGTGGTGATGAAAATAGATCTTAGACAAATTAAATGTAAAAAAAAATTTAAATCATTTAATTTAGACATAAAGTTTTTTGATAATGCTTGATATAAATTAATACAGTTATTACAAAATACATGGGCATTACCTACATTTATATTGAATAACTGATACATCCAATAAACGTCAATATCCTTTTATGAGAAAGATTTACTGTGCACATTTGAGGTTTTCTGTCACAGTGCTTGTACACTTATTTAATTTTTAATGTCCATGCTTGGAAAACAAAATATATACAGTACAATTTCTTGAGACATTTAATCAAACAGCTATTGTTAACAAAACTGAATGGAAACATTATATACAAGTGGTATATATGTACAATATACAAATCTATCAAATTAGTTTTATACTAAAGCACATTAATAAATAGTAAATTATCTCTAAAACAGAACAAGTAATGAATATCAATAAGTATAAAGTCCAATATTTCTTTTGATTTAGAAGTATATGTATAAATACAAACACATTACATAACAAACATTTTTGGGATAATAAAGATACATGTATTATCCTGTAAAAGAAATTTCTTTAAGATAGAAATAGAAAGGAAAGAAGAAAGAATTTGTTGAAAAATGAAAGTTGTTTATGCATTTGTATGTGAACAAGTACATTGATGCTTAAGAAACAGTGGATGAGAATTGCATCACGTGGCGGTTCAGCAGAAATACAGACCTTACGTGTGCCAAGGACCCAGAGAGAAACAGCCTCCTGAGCACTTAATAAACTGTGGCTACGATCGGCTGAAATGTGAGGTTCAGGCGAGTAGCTTGTGTCCTGGAGTGTGAGCGGCGACCAAAAAAAGTGGCACATCATTAGTACAAGAGATTTGTAAACTACAGAGATGCACAGAAAGTGATGCACAGACAGTGATCACCAAATTGTTTGTATTTTCATCCTCACGTACTCAAGTCAATTTATGTGCTATTATTTTTATTTGAAGTTGTAGGCTTAATTTCAAATGTTTTTCAACTTCAGTTAGTAATTGAATAGTACTAATAAGAGAAAAAAGAGACAGTAAATATCAGCAATGCAATGAATTGCCAATGTTTATTAATACGTTGACTTTCACATTATTCATATGTGTAATGAAACTCTTAACAGCTTCAGAACAATAGTCAACGCGTTAATAACCATTTGTTATATCTTGCTTTTACAAATAATTAAGTAAAGTATTGCCGTTAGTCATGTATTTTAATATTATTAAGAAAATTTTAATAAGTTTTAGTATCTGTATTAAAGACAGAGTTCATGCTATTTTGTATAGATGTAAGGATAAAGCCTCAGTCATAAATGATATCAGCCAACGACTCTTATTCATTTTTACACAATGGTAATACTATTACGGTACCAAACAATTGGGAATACAATAACTGAAACAAAAACATTTACCTTGATATTTTCTAATTCTGCTTGTGTAACTGTTAATTGTTGAAGTAGTTCTGCAACGGTAACCTTTGGTGGTGTTTGATGAGCATGCTCAAGTATCTGTAATTATCGTATACAAAGAAGCGTGTCTTATTAGAAATGTAAAATAGACAATACCGCATTGCTTATTTAAAGTGAAATACATCCTACCTGATCAGCTTGTTCTATACGTGCAGCCTCCTGACCTTTGGCATACATTTTCAGGTACATTTGTTTGTTTCTTTCTTCTTGTTCACTTAACAAAGTCTTTTGTTCAGCGAGTTCCGCTTTCACAGCCTCTAATTCCGCCTCCAGTTCACGCGCTCGAGCTTCTGCGGTATCAACAGAAGGTCTCACTTCGCAATAACGTGTGTTTATTTCAGCCAATTGATTCAGTAAACTTTCCACCTGAAATATAATACAGCAACTGGATTATAATTAAAGTACTTTAAGAATACAATCTATATTCTATATTGTATATACAAGTAGTATCTGCGTGCATATTCTTTTAAAAGGAAACACTTTTTTATATGAGCATTGTACAACTGTACTGATTCACTATTTTACAATTCTAGGATTTTACTGCCTCATTATATTACTATTTTATTATTTTGCAATTCACAGTATTAATACTTTTAGCGCCAGAAATTCATAATAAATTCAATGTGAAGTTGAAATAGAATATCTCCCCACAACAGAAATGAGAAATGACTTAGAAAAATATATTAATGTAACCTAATAATCAATTGTCGTCAAATAAAGGTCACCAGGGGGCTAATTTCATTTCAATACGATCTCACAGGAGTTCAACGGTATACAAGTATGTAATAATAAGATGTAAAGAAGCACCGTTGGCCTGAAAACTATTACGCGTGTACAGTATGCACACTGCATGTCTTTTTGTGGTATGCTGAACGAGTATCCGTTACGCTCGTTAACTGTAATGCAGTTAACGTAGCTGTGTATATACCTTATCATTATGCTTTTGCTTCAGTTCCTGCAGTTCATCAACATGTCTGCGATGCATTTCCTCGATTCTGCTTTCATAAAGGTTCACCAGTTTGCGTCTCTCTTCGTCTCTTTCCGGCGTTTCTGTGGCTGATTTGAACGTTTCGGACGTGTCGTCTTCTGGAACTTTGACGGGCGTTGTAGTAACCTGGCTAGTTTCCGGTTGCGCTTCTGGTAAAAACACAGAATCCTTCGAGTGGACGGAACCATCCTCAAAATGACCCGAGTCCGCCAGAGAGGAAGGTAAATCGGAATGGACGCGTTTCTCGGGTGTATCTGGACTCGCAACCTTTTGCAGTGCACCTTCATCCGGTAAATCCTTGCTAGGTGATTCTGGCGAGAAAGGATTATTTTCTCGTACGGTGAGAGCATCGCTGCTGTCCGTCCTCTCATCTGGACTGTTCAGTGAAGCTTTATACAATCTTAACTCCACCACTTCTTTAGTTAGCCGAAAGATTTCCTGATCCTTCTCTTCGATCTCCTTTCTAGCTTCTTTTAGTAACGCCTGTAGGAAATAATGTTTAGTGTTGTTCTTGAAATTATGGCAATCGTATTAAGCGATCATCGTCTCACCTGAAATTTCCTAACTTGTCTAGCTGCCCTTTGCGTAGGAGTGAGGTATTGTTCATTGTCACCGGTGTGATTCGAACAATGAACAACATACTTTCGTGATCTACCTGACCATGTGGTACCATTGAGGGCGAAGGTGGCATGATCACAGGCGCTTGCGGTGCTGCAGGCACTTCCATAACTTTTTACGCTATCCGCATCACTGTCGTCGGCAATTCCAGTGCTTGATCCTCCAGAGGCCGCGTATCCAGGTCGCGGCCTCGCCGGGGTCAATGAAAGGCTCTGAAAAATAAACAGTGAATTCGTTAACCCTTTGCTTCATCAGGACTTTACTTAGCAATTATCTCTGTCAAAGCTAACTTATTTACAGTTGCAATGGTAATGGAGCCGAGTTAATATTGACTCAACCCTACGAATGCATACAAGGGTGGCGTGATTAAAATTAGTCTTTTTGTATGTTCAAGTTTGCCGGTTAAGCTTAGAATAAGTGGCTCTAATAGAACTCTCAGGTAAGGAATAGGATTAGGATTGTTACTAGTACAAATTGTCAATATTTTTGCATTGCTAATTGCCAACTTATTTATAAATTAACAAATTCCCAATTAGCCAATCTGAAAATTCTCAATTTTTTATATCATAAAATTCTCTAAGATTTCCTAAATTTATAGATTTATAAACTTTCAAATTTTTTAATTTCTAAATTTTCAAATTAGTGGTTCAAATTACTAAATTCCTTAATTTCCAAACCCCCAAATTTTCATATGATCAAACTTCAAAATTTCCGAATTTTCAAATTTCGAAATCATTAAATTCCCAAATTTCCAAGTCCCAAAATTAAAAAATTCTCAAATTTCTAAGTTGCGAACTACAATTTCCCAAATTGCTAACTCAAATTTCCAAATTCTGAAATTTTTTTCTTCAAAAATTTTCAAATCAAAGACCCAAATTTCTAAATTTCTAAATTCTCAAATATTCAAAAATTCTCAAAATTCTTAAATTTCAAAATGGATGACAATAGAATGGTTGTACATTTTACCTCCCATGTAATTCTTTCAAAAATCTTAATAAGTAGTTTTGAATGAATGACAGAATTAATAATACAACATGTACACTAAGGTTGTATTCAAAGAATGAAACATAGAAAATGGTCATCCCTTTTAAGCGTTGATCTAAAAGGGATTTTACCTTAGGGCCTAAGTCTTAAAAGGAACTTATGTCCTCAATACGAAGTGCAGTTTGAATGTAAAAGAAATTCAGAACCAACGAATGAAAAGGCACTAGAGTCTTTGGCATTTGGGGTCCATACAGTCTGCCAGAACATAACTAGGTCGAAATAGTCTTCGGAAGCCAAGACATAAAATTCGAGCGTGTAAACGGTAGTTTATGGTGAATAAACATGGACGTCCAAGACACTGATGACTCGTCAATTGATTGACAAATAATACATTTGCATTACTTCAAGGCCATTTCTCTGCAAGCTAATATCCCTCATTTGTGCATAACCCATATAAAAATATATCAGACAACAGTTAACTTAGATTTATTTAATATTCCATTGTTCAAATTCTGTTTCATAGATCCCATCAAGAGTACACCACTCAACCGTACAACAGTTTGACCGCCATATTTATTTCTACAAAAAAATCAAACAGGAAAATTGTATATACAATTTACAAATATTTCTATCATTATTAAAAATTTCTATTAGAAGAGGTACATGGTTGAAGATAAGTAAATGAAATATTTTTTGAATTGACCAATATGGTCTGTTCGGTATAAATATCGTCTATCGTTTTATTGCCATAAAACGGTATCGCGTTCAACGGGATTATGGTATTGTTACACAGAGAATACGCTCGCTTTTCTTGTAGCATTATGACCGGAAGTAGTAGAGAGGCTTCTTCTGCGCAGACGCTTTGGTTTGAGGAAGGTCAGGATGCCCCTTCTTTATTTCTTTAGCTATCGTGCCTACTCGAACCCAGGTGCACTTAATAATTCAAAATCTGCCGAGCTAAGCGCCAGTCATCTTTTCATTGTTACACGCGCCTCTTTTACTTTCCGGTGCTATTGTCCTCAACAATTGTTCTAACACTGCCTTTTAAACAATTTTTAGGTCGATTATTATATTCTTTCTTACTCTTCTTTCTGGAGTCTAATTTTCAGGTTGAGTGGGTGCACTTCATAAACTGTGATATTAAAAGAGAATCGGCTTTGGCAAGGTGCCTGTATTTATCAGGTCACGTGAACCAAAACTCGGAAAATTTCTGTTTACTTTGTTCTTTTTCTGTGTTTTTTCGAATCACCATAATACTGTCGTGATAAATCAAATTTTTAAAAGGATAAACTTAAGAAAATAGTTTTATATTCCCACGAGTGATCAAAAGAACAATAAATATGTCTTTTCAATTTTATAAATTTACTGGTAGAAAATTTATATAATATTGCAAAATTGTAACAGCATACAAATGTAAAAAATTGTAATTAAAAAAATGGATATTAGTTACGAATGACTCATCTCAATTCTTATTAAAAATATACTATAATTATTGTAAGATGGCAGAACAATTTTTATGTAAAATTAAAATATTTATCCATGAAAGTGTATCTGAAATATTGGCCATGATTGTATTTTCAAATGTCCATATGTATAATAATATCTTTGTTTGTGTTTTTGTTCTAACTAATACCATTAACAAAAATCAAGGACAACGTTGTTTGTACGTAGTACATTAACATACTAACTCACGAAAGCTTAAATTTCAAGAACAAATTTAAATCACAAAACAGAGTAATTACTGTTATACGAAGCATGCAATCGTGATTAAGATCAATTAATAAATATTCCATTTACGCAGCCCCTGATAATAAAAAACTGTTGACTCTCAAAAATGAAGCCTTAAGAACAAAGTCAATAAGACGAACTGTCAGTCCGCATCTGCGATCTGCATCGAACCAAGAATACGACGTAATATACTGTGAAGATACAAGAAATAATTTGAAATCATTCTGAAATCAATACTTATAAACAGTGAAAAATATTAGTGATATAAAACGTATGGGAATAATGCTTACAAGAGATCGTTGTCGAGGTGATTCAGTTCCATTCTCCGTGATGACTGGAAAGGTACGATGGTCCAGATGATGGTGTTGCAAATGATTAGAACGACGACAAGAGTAACCGTGCCTGTTCAGGGCCGCGGTCGCCGCGGTACTGGGTGGTAGTGGTGGTGGTTGGTTAGGTGAAATTCGTTCACCGCGCATGCGCATACTGACCGAACGACGCAGACCTGTAGGCGAGGGACGTGGAATACGGGAATCGCAGGAAGAGGATGTCGAGGATATCGAGGGAGACGGTACGGTACCCGAGACACTTCCTGTCGTGCAAACCACGCTGTTGACATTGACCTTCATCGTACTGTTGTCAGTACATGTTGCTGATTCTAAAGGTGTCAATTCCGTGATAGCAGTTGTGTTCGGGCTGCTCACGCGACCCGAGGAGTCGGGATGCATCGATTGAGGCGAATGCAAGGACCTTTCGCTGCCGTGACGAGCCATCCTTCTGATCCTGATTTTTACTTATCACTTTGTACACTATCTAAATAGAAATAAAATACTTTATTTAATATACGAACGTGTTCTTGTCACGATCCTATCATTACTTGATAACGACCAGTGCCGGGAAACTTCTATTAATTAAATATAACTATGACTACTTTCACTGTGCTTTTTTTTTGGAGTTCGAATAAGACATATGATTATGTTTATTAAATCCTGTTTTTAAATTTGAACACCGTAGAATTATGAAGATTTCACATGGTACACTCAGGTGCAACATAGTTTCCTTTCAGCAAAGGACTACTATGAAGGAAGGACCCCCAATACTTTTCAGGATCCCCAGAAATGCAAACTTCCAATTTGCACACACAAATCCTCAAATTTGCAGATTCTCAAGTACTCAAATTTTCAAATCTTCAAATTTTCACAATTCAGTCTTCCAAATTTAAAAATTTAAAAATTTCTAATGTTAAAAGTTGATAATTGTAAAAATTTACCAACCAAAAGTCAAAAAGACATGGCATCCTTCACTCCCATATGGCCATTTGTTTTTTTTTTTCTAAATATGTCTTCCATGTTTAGATTGATTGAAACATCATAAAATATAAATTTTAAAAGTTATAACTGAATTTTTTACTGAATAAACTTCTTAGTAACCATCACTACTATTAAAAAGTAACAATTTACATCGATTATTAGAGATGTGTGACATGCTTATTAATAATGCGCGCACATTGTGTTGATGTATAGTACACGATTATAAATACTTAACATTTAATCGATTATGTTTAAAACATATTTTCAATTTAAAGAACATAACGTATACACAAAAAATGTACAAATAACAAAAATGAATGCATTAAAGAAACAGCTTAAGCGCTATAACCGCCTGTTACGCATTAAATCTTTTGATAGCAATCAACGATACTAAAAACTGACAGCCCCTTGTTTACATCAGTAGAGGTGCGTGTCATGCTTACAAATAATATTGCGCGCGCATTGAGTCGGCGCGAAATTCAAAAAGACAAACGCTTTACATTTAACTTGACTACCTTTAAAACCTATTTTCAATTAAATAAATATAATATGTTCGTAGAAAATATAACATACACAATACTAATGTATATATTAAATAAAAGATTGAATGATATAAGAATAAATATTATTCAAACACAGTAAACACAGTAGAAACTTTGTTCTTTTTATCAATACACTTTGCAATCGTAAATTTTTATTAACTAATTTTACTTTCATGTTCAAAACCTTGAAGTAGCTATCTTCATTTATTGTTAAACGACGTGTTTAAACTTGAAACAAGGGCAAAGGCTAAGTTTACGATTATACAGTCAAAGAACGAAAATGAGATTAAAGTGTTTGCTCCACTTTAAATTAGCCGTTTTAGCTATCAGAAAAGTCTTCTTTTTCTTTCTTCGTTTCGAAATAAATTTTTACTAAAATTCAATCGATGTCAAGTATTTTTAGTTACTTTTTTAAATACGTATATTAATGTCGCCATTGCAACATCCGTCCGTTTAAAAATCAGATTAACATAATACTTAAATCCACATAATCATATTAATCTTTTCAATGTCAGTCAATTCTGCTTATCTTTATGTATGACATGGACGTATTAAACCTTTTATCACGTATCTGAGTTCAGTGAAAGGCAAGGTACTTTAACAAGTGTTTTTATATAATACAGGAATTACGAGTGGGAGGGAGAAAAGCGGAATTTAGACGTTTATCGTATCGATATACATTTTTTTGAAACGTTGTTGCTATTAATATTTCTTGGTGGCGTTTCGTGTCATTCGAACTGACGAATTAGAGCAGGGAAAGGCCTATTGGAATAAAGTAATCGATCATTTGGTGTCCTATTTCAAGAACGTGCTGCGGCATTATGCAGCGTCTATGTCATCCTTAAAATCATCCAAATAACCTTTTTCCGCTTCTCTTAAAATTGCATTTCAACTCGTCTGAACACCGTCAAACTTTAATGTTTTTCGCTGAATTTCCCAACAAACGACGGCAACGAAAGAGCGAGGAAAATAAAAAGAGAAATTTAATTTTGGCATATGCATGGCTGGTTAACGTTGAGCAATTCGCGTAAACGAAGTTTGTACGTCATAAGCGCAGTACCGATTTTGCAAACTTCTTATTATGTGCCGCATGAACAGGAACTAATTAGCAATTAGAAAGTACTAATTAACAAAGCCAGACAAGCACACCTTACCTTTGGAACATGGATTCGAAGTCGTAACAGGTTCTCCTAGAAGTATTTTCGAAGTTTCTAACATCTAAAATGTACACGTGTATTGTCGTTAATTAACTATTACTATCACGAGTTGAAAAGTGTACAAGGAACATTTGGTTTTGGTATCAATTTGTGCCACGCGGGCTTATCGCGTGTAGAAGTTGAACATAGCTGCGAATAATAATCCAGCGGTCATAGATCTCCTAGGTAAATTATAACACGATCATGGTTAGACGAGACACCGTCTTTGATTTATTTTTAGGGGATACGAGGTACACGATATCACACACTGAACACATTTTGCCCACGAACACTGTATGCCTTTGAAAAACGTGTCTACTGCGCGAACATCAATCTCCCACGATCGTAACGCGACTCGTGGAAACAAACAGCGTTGTGCTACACAACGATAGAAAATCACGAGATGTCGTATTGCCTGGCACCGATCATTGACAGTATCGTGATTTTGGTATAACATCGCCATCTTACGATAATTCGAACAAATTACGATGTTACCGACCGTAGATAACATCTTGCTTTATCGACACTTGTGATTACCAGTGATACAAAGTTACCGACGTAGGGACACATTTGTATTTTTATTTTATTTCATATTACTAAGTTGACTAAACTGGAGTGTAAAATATAATTTTAGTACCCAAATCTACTTTTTTGTTGCAGATATGCTACAGTATACAATTCTATAGTTAAAACCTACATAGCCTGCCATATCGCATGGTTCTACACTTAATCACAATTAAGACGCGATACGGATAGTTTCCTACACAACCTTTTTAATCTACGTTATAAATTCACAGTCTACGGGAAGTGAAAAGTTACAGTTTACGGAGTAACCGTGCAATCATAAGACTGAGGTAAGACACATTTCTGTGTCGTTGGATTAAATTTCAAAGTGTTAGGACATTTAAGATTATCATATCTAACTACTTGCGAACCATTCACGTAACAGTAATAATACATTTGACAATTAGGGTCTTTGATTGGGAATCTGCCAGTTACCACACATGGGGCTACTGTCGTTGATGCCGTTGTGGTGGTGGAGGTCGTTGAGACTGTCGATGGTGTTGATGCTGTTGATGGCGTTGAGGCTGTCGATGGTGTTGATGCTGTTGATGGCGTTGAGGCTGTCGATGGTGTTGATGCTGTTGATGGCGTTGAGGCTGTCGATGGTGTTGATGCTGTTGATGGCGTTGAGGCTGTCGATGGTGTTGATGCTGTTGATGGCGTTGAGGCTGTCGATGGTGTTGATGCTGTTGATGGCGTTGAGGCTGTCGATGGTGTTGATGCTGTTGATGGCGTTGAGGCTGTCGATGGTGTTGATGCTGTTGATGGCGTTGAGGCTGTCGATGGTGTTGATGCTGTTGATGGCGTTGAGGCTGTCGATGGTGTTGATGCTGTTGATGGCGTTGAGGCTGTCGATGGTGTTGATGCTGTTGATGGCGTTGAGGCTGTCGATGGTGTTGATGCTGTTGATGGCGTTGAGGCTGTCGATGGTGTTGATGCTGTTGATGGCGTTGAGGCTGTCGATGGTGTTGATGCTGTTGATGGCGTTGAGGCTGTCGATGGTGTTGATGCTGTTGATGGCGTTGAGGCTGTCGATGGTGTTGATGCTGTTGATGGCGTTGAGGCTGTCGATGGTGTTGATGCTGTTGATGGCGTTGAGGCTGTCGATGGTGTTGATGTCGACGAAGCTCCAGATGAAGCTCCCGATGGTGTCGATTCCGATGAAGCTCCCGATGAAGCTCCCGACGAAGCTCCCGATGAAGCTCCTGACGGTGTCGATGCCGATGAAGCTCCCGATGAAGCTCCCGATGGTGTAGATGCCGACGAAGCTCCAGATGAAGCTCCTGACGGTGTCAATGCCGATGAAGCTCCCGATGGTGTCGATTCCGACGAAGCTCCCGACGAAGCTGGTGTTGATTCTGCTGATGGCGTTGTTCCCGTTTGAGTGCAAGGGTAACTCGAAGGCGACACACAATACCCCAACATAGGATTAAATAGGTTAGGAGGAGCACACTTTAAATTATATGAGACGTACTTTGTGCCGTCGTAAATACACAAATAATAATTTTGACAAGTGCCATCATTGATCTCGAATGATCCTGGCATTATACACGGTTCACTCGATGGGGTCAACTGAGACATTCCCATAGGAATAAAACTGAAAACGAGAATCTCGAGAGCAAGTATAACGCTCATTTTTGCGGATCGTACTGCTTCACGATGAATGAAGACTCAGTCATTCCCGCGAATATATTATGCTCTTTGAATTTATTGTTTTATTACGGAACATTACTTAAGCTGGATTCGAAGCGAACATACTGAGCACCTTTTACAATATCTTGCTTGTGACGGTAAGAAATGAGCAAACAGTTCCCGCCTGTTTTAGTACATAATTAAGATTTTTTTATTTATTTTGACTTGAAGCATTTATAGTCCTTTCACGGGATTATAAATCTGCTGACATTGAATCATAGCATATGAAGTAACTTAAAGGTTATATTAGATCGTTGTATTTGCATGTAGATTTGTTACAGTGTTAGGTTTTATTAATTTGAGATGTTACATTTTAGTTTCATGTTTCTACGATTCCAAGAAGTGCTTTTAAAGACTTTAAGCTTGCCGTTTGTGCTGGTCAGGGACGAATTTCAAAGCGATGGGGGCGGAACTCTCAGCAGGACTTTTGGACCTAAATCCTGGTTCCTCTACATTTATCTGACTAACATCGATTTGGATGAAAATTTCTATCTATAGGGTGATTCAAAATATCAGTATCACACGTATTCTATAAAATATTAAGCGTTAATCACTTATTAATTTGCCTGCATTATATGACATATACCACATAAAATAATATACTCTCGAATTCTCGTACGTATTAAACACAATTAAATAGCAAATGATCGATGAAATTGTGGGAAATATTTCTTATCGCTTGTAACGATAATTTTTTATCGTGTCTTCTCAACATGAATTTGCAATATTATTTCATTGTTTTAATATTATAGAAGATATTGAAAAATGAAATTCGCAATTGTTAAGATTTATTAATGAGCCGTTACTAATTACTAATTACTAATTATCAATGATGTATGTACTTGTCTATTGTTAAGTTCAATTATAAATTATAAATTATCAATTCTCAGTTTCTAGCTACTAAAAATTACACACAAACCAGGCTACTATAAATTGCCAATTAGCTATTAACTACCCATTAGCAATTGTTAACTATTACTTACAATTATCAGTTACTAATAATGAAGTGAATTATGATAGTGAATACACTATTCATAACAAAGTGTCAACTACGGACTACTAAATCAACAGCTACAAACTACCAACTATCAACTACCAAGCACCAAGCACCAATCGTCAGCTACAAAGTATCAACTACCAAGCACCAATGATCAATAACTAATTACTATCTTATCAGCTGCCAATTACCAATCAGTCAGCAACTACTAAGTCCGAATCGAGTACCAATCTACAAACTACCAAGCACCAATCATCAGCTACAAACTATCAACTACCACGTACCAATAATCAATAACTAATTACTAACTTATCAGCTACCAATTGCCAATCAGTCAGCAACTACCAAGTCCCAATCAAGTACCAATCTACAAACTACCAAGCACTAATCATCAGCTACAAATTATCAACTACCACGTACCAATAATCAATAACTAATTACTAACTTATCAGCTGCCAATTACCAATCAGTCAGCAACTACCAAGTCCCAATTAAGTACCAATTTACCAATTAAGTACCGAGCAAGTACCAATTAATAAAATATTCAACACATTAAAAAAGTAGTACCTAAAGAAATATTACGGATTTAAAAATATTATATATCACCATCCACGGCTAAAAATCCCAGCGTTTATTTCAACGGTTCCTGACACCCCTTCAAGCCAGGTAGATTCGAGATCGTTCTCCAGCAGGGGGTTAACAGGTAAAATAAGTTCGGCAAAGGTATGCATCGTGGGAGAGATCGGTGGATAGAAAAGGAGATCGATTCTTCGGGAGCAAGAGAAAGGATAAAAGGATGGAGAAAGAGGGAAAACAAGATGGAAGGAAAGAAGGAGCAAATGTATATAAGCGACTTGCATGGAAGACGCTCCAATGGACTCTCTCTTTGACCTTAACGAAGCGTGCACCTTTCTTCGCGTTTTTTGTTCTCTTTCCTCTTTGAACTTCTTTCCATAAACTTCTTATTATTCAATCTTCATTTAACCTTGAAGAAGCGAGGGTTTTCGAGTATTGTCACCAAAGATGAAACTGTAACTCTCGTATCTTTTGTTGTCGCTTTTTGTTTTATTACTATTTTAACACTTTTATTTTGATATTTGTATAGGGAGTTTCTTTTGTTCATTGTGATTTTTATTTTAACGTGCTTTTTGTGTCATGTTCCTGTGCGGAAGTACCTGAAGATACCTCTGTGGAAGATGAACGTGCTTCGAGTGAGTAGAAATTAATTTCAATTTTTATGAAATTTTGTAAAAATGAGTTAATAGAATTGTGATATTTAGATCTTTCAGTCGGTTACATTTATTGAATATAAATTCATTCATTACTTTTAAGTTTCTTCAGTTGGATGTATTCTTTACTTCGATCTCATTGAAATAAGGTGACAGAATAAAAAGTTTTTTCAAAATACACACATTCGTATTTTTATTAACATTAAAAGATTCAAGATTAAACATTTTGTTATAAATAGTAAGTTTAGGTCTTAAAAAATGAAAGAGCATTTATTTATTCTTAAAATAACACAAAGTTTCTGATGGAAACCTGTTGGATATAATTGATCGAGGTTTCGAACACAGATTTTACAAGCGAAAGCTAAATTGTATGTATAAATTTCTACGTAACCTCCGATAATTTTGAAAGTTAATTTCATTTTAATCGCTTCCGTTCAACTTATTCTTTTATATTAATACCTCAGTTACTCTATTTTCCATCTGCAAAAACAATTTGATGCCTAAATTTGCTTAAGTAGGTCCATAATCTCTCAAAATGATTTAATTCATCATTTTTATTCGACTCCGTGAACGACGCTTATGAAATATTAATCTTAATGCAAAATTGAAAAATTACAGTTATATTCGAGTACCACATGTTTAAGATGACACACATGACAATGTCCTCTTCTTGGACACAACTTGACGAACTAGTTTTTTTACAACGTAATTTGAATGCCATAAATAGGACGTTTACGATAAGTGCATGCTCATCGTGCCATGATGCAATTTAATACACACCGTACAATGTAATAGTAGAAAAATACTTATGTACCTTGCATTCATTCTTAGGTGGGTAATTGTGGTTTGTGGTTGTAAATAAATATATTGTTCTCACTTACGTAATATAAGTCGAACAAAATAAGTATTTTCAATGCGTTCGTTGCCAGGAATTACACGCAAAACAGGTGCTTAATTTATCATGCAAAGCATACCAGGCGAAAGTTAAGAATCACCAATTCAAAAATCTGGTAGCACGATTGCCCGACGGAATTACCAAATTCGGAGGTTTCGAGGCATTTACTTGCATTGTCTATTTAGAATTTAAAGCATATGTTAATTGTAGCAACTGAGATTTTAATTTAAAAGTTTTATGTTTCTTCTATCGAATCCTATGGCAATTTCCAAAGTAAAAAATATAACGCAATTTTGTCGCACAAAAATATCGCAGGACATGACATATCAATTTCAAGTTTAATGTTAACTATACCAACTTAAATTTTAATTAAAAATTATTATGTTTCTTCTATCAAGACCTATGGCAGATTTTCAAAGTAAAAAATATAACGCAATTTTGTCGCATAAAAATATCGCAGGACATGGCATATCAATTTCAAGTTTAATGTTAATTATACCAACTTAGATTTTCATTTAAAATTTTTATATTTCTTCCATCGAGTCCTATTCGAACAAATGGCGAATTTTCAATATGAAAAATCTAAAAATGAAAAATATCGTAGAAGGACATCTGTGACCTATCAATTTCATGTTTAAAGTTTATGGATAAATTATTATTTATATAAATGCTACATTAATGTGGGTTTGTAATGTGGGCAAAGTTGAAAAGTAGAAGAGAAGTCTTAACTTGCATATCAAATTGTCGAAAGAATGTGAAAAGTCCGACTTACATGATATGAAGAGTGCAATTACATGACATAGAAACATGGCAAAATGGCGCATACAGTATATTAATTTGAAGCTTAAATTTTAAGGAAAATTACTGTAAAAATGTTTTATTAACATTCTGAACATGAGAAAAGTTGTAAATTAGAAAGAAATTCTGAGTTTGTTGCATAACAAATTATTGAATTCAAAATAAAAATGTCTAATATTATTTCAGGACTTAAAAGTATTCCAAAATGGCACATATTGTACATCAATTTTATATTCATACATCGTATTGTACATTCGAAGCTTAAAAATGAGTAAATATAACTATATAAATATTGCATACATTTTATTATTCACAGATATTTACGCAAGTGAAAATTAGATATTCATTAATGGATAATAATAATTTAAAATTGATTTATTGTTTGTTTCAACGAAGAAGTAGCTAATTTATATTGAAACTTTTTATGAAATGTTTCTATAATCATTTTTGTAAAATCTCAAGCTTTAAATTAGTATACTATACATGGTATTCCATGACACTTTTATGTCATGAAATTTTATTATTAACGATTCAAAATTTGTTATTTAAAATGCAAGTGTCTAACACCTTCATTTCTTTCATTTTTAATTTTGCTCGTATAAAGAATATTGAAAAAACGTTTATATCTTCATTTTCTAAAAATCTTAAGCTTTAAAATGATGTGCTATAATTAATCTTTGACTATGTTTTTATGTTATGAAATTCCATTAGACTTGTTACGATTCGAAACTGGATATTAGATATGGCACATCAGTATTATTTCTTACAATTAGTAACTAATCATTTTTTGTTGATAGTGTTGATGAAATATTTATATTTTGAGTTTTATTAAACATTATTCTTCAAATTCATATGCAATAAATGCTGTTTTGCCTTACTTTTATCTCATAAATTCACAAGAAACTTTATATTAATAATAAATTTTTTACTACATCAAATTTAAAATTCTTCATTGCATTAAAGTTTAGACTTTTCACTGTATTAAATTTTGAATTATTATTTGTATCAAATTTGAGATTTTTTCATTGTAATAAATTTCAAATTTTTCACTATATTAAATTTTAGATTATTCATTATATTAAATTTGTGACTTTTTACTATATTGAATTTTAGATTATTAATAGCATTAAATTTGAGACTTTTCACTATATTAAATTTTAGATTATTCTATTTTATTAAATTTGATATTTTTTAACATATTAAATTTTAAATTATTAACTGTATTAAATTTGAGATTTTTTAACATATTAAATTTTAAATTATTAATTGTATTAAATTTGAGATTTTTCATTATATTAAATTAAAGATTATATTCATTATATTCATTCCACTACAGTATCTAAAAATATCCATTAACGTCCGCACATTTAATTAACATTCCACATAACAAAAGTCACCTACATAACATTCATGTCTAATCTCTAGTGCATGTCCGTCCGCGAAAGATGTCGAAAGCCAGAATGAACTGATTTGTACACATGGTGAATTGTCGATCGTACATGATCCAACAAGGACGACATGAATGATGCGAAGAAAACATATGCCCGACGCTTTCGAATGATCCTGGTCGTTTGGCATAGTGCCAACAGAGGAGCGAAACTCTTCCGTCTACGACCTAAATCTGTCGCTTTCCGTTTGCACGTTTCTTCACCTTATCGCAATGTCAATACCGATTTTCTTCGAATATGCTTTTAAATACAAAAAATGACGCAATTGATAAAGTGTCGATAAAGAGCAAATCGCGAAGGACATTAACGGGGAAACAAGGGAGGCGCGAATCCTCCGCGTGTGACACAGTTTATGTCCTGAAGAACGTTTAGTTTAGATATTTCATTTTGAACCATCAAAGGATATTTCAAATTCGATTAATATGCATGTAAGTTGTGTATTCGTAGGTACTCTTAGGTAATCAGTTTATGAATTTGAAAATTTACAATTTTGATATTTTTAGAATTCTGAATTTTTAATTGTATTAATATTACCTTTATTTTCTTGAGTTTCTAAATTTTTAAATTACCGAATTTTTAAGCTTCTTTGTTTTTGAACGTTTAATTTTCTAAATTTGTAAATTTGTAAGTCTTAAAATTATTTAATTTCTAAATTTCCTAATTCTCAAATTTCTATATTTTAGAATTTCTAACTCTACAAGTTTGGAAATTTGCAAATTTTATATTTCGAAGTTTCTAAATTACTGAATTACATTCCTAAATTTTTAAATTAAAGGGTATTTTAGTACATCAATTTCTAAATTTTCAAACTGAATTTTTAAATTACGTAAATTACCAAAATTCCAAATTGTAATATTCTAAGATTTGAATTTTCCCTATCCATATTTCCAAATTTTCAAATTACCAAATTTCTAAACTCCCAAATGTCCTGATTCGTCAAATTGTTAAACTATCTAATTTTAAGAGCTCCATGTTTCAACAAACGTTTCGCTAAATGTTCATCTTATATCTGTTAGATTCTGATGTAGATTAAAAGATTACATTTGTAATCGTATAAGGTAGAATCCTATTACCAAGGTACTTCCTAATTGCCTTTTCTAGCTGTTTCTTTGAAATGATCCAAGCATGTCTCTTGTTAGAAGTAGGATTTCAAGATAATCGCTTATCTCTTTTCACCCACTTCCTAACAAACAGAATCTTCGTTGGCTTAATTGCTTAACAAGAAAACTATGTAAAGACGCGACCAGATATGTATACATATATGCACTTCATGTATATATGTATATTTTTTAACACGTCATTACATATTCTCGTTAAACAAGCAAGGCAACAGAAATATAAATAAATCTAACAATTTTAAAAATAACAATCAATTTTAAATTAAATCTAAAGTTAATGCTGAATAATATCTTAGAGATCTAATGATTTAGTTCCTAATTAATTTATTTGATTATAATTTATGAAATTGCAAAATCATATCAATGTTTACAAATATAATCAATTATATAAAATTAATTAGAAACTCAATTCGATCTCTGATAGCAGTTATTTAAATTTCATTTTATATTCTCACGTTTATTTTTTAAATTTTAAATTATTTAGATACTTTTGAGATATGGAATTTTTAAGTAATAGATGATTAACCTAATGGTCGACTTAACAGTTAGTAGTTAACGGTGTATAATTAGTACTTGATAACTGACAATTGATTCTTGGTGATTGATAGTTGGGAGATTAATAATTAGTTATTAATCATTTGTACGTGGTACTTCATTGGTGCTTGTTAATTAATGGTAGCTCATGGTTGGTGCTTGATAATTAGTGATTTATAATGGGTTTGTAATGTGCAGATAATTCATAATTCGCTATCAATACCTATCAGTTAATAATTGACAATTGGTAACTGGTAGTTAATTAATAATTAGCAATTGATAATAACCAACTAGCAATTATAGTAGTTCGTAACTAGTTACCATAATTCTAATGGTTACAACGAAAGCTTATGATGATTTTATAGGTTCTGTTTGAAGGTTAGGATTCCTAGAACGTCAAGTTAGAAAATTATTATAATTTTATACAACTAGATTTATAATTGATAGATGTTACTTGTTGCTGGTAACTGAAAGTTGATAACTGTTGTTGGTAATTGATAGGTAATTAACTGATAATTACTACTATTATAGGTAATTGATATTTAATAATTGGCAATTGACAATTGACAGTGAGCTAATTATTAATGATTTATAGTAATTATAGATTAGTACATAACTGGTATAGAGAGTACATAATTATTGTTCACAATATTGCTGTTTTTACAATATAGATCAATAAATCTTTTCAGTGAAATGTGAAATGTACTCATTTCGAAAGAATACCCTTATAATTACAATATAACGTATTTAATTAAATTTTTTGTCTACACTAACAAAAAGGAGTTATACGCGATTACATTTTAGAGTAAATTATACAGGAAGAGGAAAATTGCAATCTCATGACTGACATTGGTTAGTTTTGATTAACGTCGAAATCCATTTTCGCACACGTGTACAGGTACCAGTAAAAAAAGACCTTTGCTGAATGTGCATTATACAGATTACATGCAACCGCATATTACATCTTCTCACTATAGGTCGACTCTCGTAATACCCACAGCCCACTTACCTACATTATCCCTGCTACACGAGGGTTTCTCTTATATACTTCAGCTGTTACACTGTGTGAACCACCTACTCTTCAATGAAAATCAGATCCATCCTAACACTTTGAGTGTCAACCTAAAATTGTAGATCATTCTAATGAATCTATTACACTTCCACCCTTTTGACACAGATATTTCCCTGCGTTCCATTAACCTTAACTTACAAAATTTATAGCTTTTATGTTTTTACAATAAATAAATAAATATTCTATAATTAGACAGACAAATAGTTAGTTAATTACATAGAATAATTTCCTATAAATTTCATACAATGCAATAATAAGTTTAGATATTATAATAATTTTGAAAGTCACATCAAATTTAGAGGTTATGATAATTCTAATGGCTACGACGAGAGCTTATGATGATTTTATGGGTTCTATTTAAAGGTTACAATTTCTGGAAAATTAAGTTTGAAGATTACTATAATTTTATACGACCAGTTTGAAGGTTGTAATTTTAAATATCCAGTTTAAAAGTCATAACATTGTGAAAGTCAAGTTCGAATGTTACGAAACTTTGAACGTATGACAGCTTGAAAGTCAAGATTAAACGTTACGACCCCTTCAGGGTCAAGCATCAAGGTTACAGCTGAAGGTCAATTTTCAAGGTAATTGAATAGCCAAGCAATTTGCTGAAATTTCTATCTAGGACACACTGACCTATTTACTATAAAATATATTTCTAAGCCATATTTAAAGAATTTTAAAAAGAAACAAAAAAAAATAATTTTACAGATGAATACATGAATTATAGGTAATGCTGACATAGACATAACGTATATTAAAATTGAAAGTATAATAATGGAAAATCTGTAGCTGATTAATGTGTAGAATGATATTCAATGAAGCTATCGAAAACAAAAGGTCAGTGAAAGGGGAACAAACACGGCATAAAATCCAGCGCAGAGAAGATTTGAAGGACCCTAGCAATTATCTATGGGGATTCTCTCACGCGTTGTAGATTCAATGGTTCCCGTAGTACTTCACGTGCTATTTCACCTTTGCTGTAAAATATGCGGACGTGTGAGAGAGAACGAGAGTACTCGCGAACGACCGTACTTGTCGCGAGAACCGGAACTGCATAAGAAAGTGAAGAAACGGAAAAAGAACCATGGTTATTCTGGTATCACTTTTAAACCCACTGACATTCAAAGTCAACGCAAGTTTATAGCACAAATTATTCTACGACAATTTAATGACATATTTTTTAATTTTTTAAACGAATTATGTTAAAATATAATTCTTCGAGTTTTGTATTAAAGAATTTATGTTTGTATAAAATTTATTATGAGCTTTGCTTGGGGATTGATAAAAGTATGGAAGTGAGAGCTTAGAACAAAATTGTAGCACAGTTTTGGCATACTTCAAAGAGTTTCTCAGGAAGTGACACACTTTAGTTTGTCCCCTGTTGATTTTCTAGGGTTATTGACTATTGTGAGAATATGCGATATTTTCTATGCTCATGAATTTTCATTACTTTTTAGAAATGTACTGCTTATTCATTGCATTTCTCGTGACAATGTTACTGATACTATCTTGGTCCACCTTTCCGAAATTTTCACTGAAAATTTGTTCATATTTAAATTGTTATAACTTAATAAAGGAGAATTATATGGTAATTTACTTAAATATGGAAAGCTTTTGCTATCACGTAGATATGACTATTTTCCTCAAAGGTGTTTAGTCGTCAAAACTATTTATTTAAAAAGTTCCGTTATTTTTTCGACATACTGTGCATAACAATGTATACATATATGGATAGGAATATATAATACTTGAAACAATGGTATAAAATAACATATCCATATTAAATTTATGATTCCAGATTTTGTTAACAACACTCCTCCTCATCATTTTATGCCACACCTCGTCAGCCGTGAAAAATGATCGAGGAGGACCATCATTTAACGCTGGAAACTTTCTTCGAAACAGTCGAAGAATCGCATTGAACGAATATTTGGTTCCACCTCCACCGCCACGACATTCGTTAAGAGCAGGAAGAGTAGCAAATCCTGCAGCAACGGAAGAAGCGGGATACTTTTCGAAATTTATGAACTGGTTAAATCCTTTCAATTACGTATCTTCGCCTTCGCCGCCTCCGGCTGAAACAGCGTATCAACCCCGAAATCCGCCTTTTAATTCGCAACCTTTGCATCCTCCATCAGGAGCTTCCTTGTATCCTCCTCTGGGTCCACCTCCAGGTTCGCACCCTGTTCTGCAGCATCCTATCGGTGTACCTCCCGGACCACCTCCAAATCAATTGCCCTTTTACAACGCTCCCGCCATCTTGCACAATGTTCAAAGTCCCCCGCCCGTGAGGACCAATCCTACGTATGTTACCCTGAACAAAGGGAAATCCTGCAATCCCTGCAACAGAATTCCTTGGATACCCATGCAAGGTGGGCTGCGTTCTGACGAACATCCTCCACAGCTCTCTAATGGCTACCTTCCTCCACCTAATGTGATAAATCACGATAATCAACATTCCGCATCCCACGAAATCAGTGTTCCCAGTTTTCCGCAAGTTCCTATCAATCCTCTGATTAGTTCCTTGCCTAATCCTCAGCTGTTGCCTCATCCAGTGCCGCCTTACCACGCGGAATCTTTTGATGGCCGATCTCCAAGTCCTACGGGACATCTGGAACCTACATTAACGACCATTGGACAGGAATATAACCCTGCAATCAATGGACAACTCAATATAAGAGGTAACGAAGATCTGGCACCTAGTGGGACTCACACTGATCAGGGTCTTCTCAGTGCTGCACCTCAGAATTATGGATTCGAGGGTGACAAAGCAGCAAGTGATAAAGAACCCTTTGAGCGTGATCAACCTCCAATTTCTGCACCACCTGGAGATAGCCAAGTTGGGGTTAGCAGTTTTGGATCATCCAATTTTGGAAATCACTTTAGTGAGAGTAGTGGATATCGGGAATCTAATGTTCACTACGAACAATCGCAGGATTTGAATCCTCAAAGTAGCTTTGGGTCAAGTTTTAACGATCAAAACTATCAGAATAATCAGTATTCTGATTTATCTTCTAGTAGTAGTGTTATCAAGAATTCTCAGGTACCCGAAGAAAATAATGCTTCTTCAAACACGGATTTTGTACATTTTGAAGAGTCTCCATTGTTGGATCTCACGAATAAAGAAGAAACTCACTCTGACACACAATGGCCAACATCTACGGTCACGTACAATGAAGATAACATCTTGAAGACAACTACGGACTATAGTTTAGAAACCGATAATGTATATTTTGAAGATTCATCAAACTTTATTAGACAGAGTGAATCCTATTCTTTGTCGGATATTCGAAATATCAATGGTGCTTTTGAGACAACGTCAGCGAGTGGAGGATACAAGAATGTGGAAGAAACATCAACGATTAGTACACCTTATACGAATCAAAATATTCAGCAGGGATTGGTGTGGACGGATCTGGAATTGAAAAATGAGTCTTTGAGAAATCATGCGTTTTCGGATACTGTTAATCAGTGGAATAGTTCTAATACGGAAATTAATAGGTTTGAAAAGCAGGGGAATCCTGAAGTGAAGAATACAACTCCGAGACAACAGAGTGTGAAGCGAAATAAACAAGTAAGTTTTTCTTTTTGGTTTGAAGTTAAGTTAGTTAGGTTAGATTAAATCCAGGTTAAATCTGAGTTAAATTAATTCTAAACAAATTTAAAGTTGTTTTCAGATTTCAGGTTAAATTTATTCTATGGGTTGGTTGTATTGAGTTAAGTTAGGTCTAAGTTAAATTTCGATTAGGCTAAGTCAGATTAGGTTAGGTTAGATCTAAGTTAAATTTCAATTAGGATTAGTTTAAGTTAAATCTAGATTACATTACACATTAGGTTAAGTTAGATCTAGGTCAAATTTTGATTAGCATAAGTAAGATTTGTCACTTCTTTGTTAAACTTACATTAGAGTAGATTGGATCAATCTATGATAAAAAAAATGATATTCCCTTGAAGTTATGCTTAAATTAATTTAGGTCTAGCTAAAGTCTCTGTCAGATTAGGTTAGGTTAATTATAAGTTAATTCTAAACACACAAGTTAATCTCTTTTTTAGCTAAATTTTCATTATAGTTTTAATCAATTTGAAACACAGAAATGAAATTACTTTGATGAAATGAAGTTTGCATTAAATTAGGTCTGCACTAAATATCAGTTAAGTTAAATGACTCTAATGTTATGTCAATTCGAAGCAAATAATTTAAGTTCCATTTCAGTTATATCTATATCCATTTATATTTGGTTAATTTTAAAGAATTGAAACAAACTTTTGTTTAAGTTTAAACTGAAGTCTGAGTTAAATTATGTTTGGATGCTTTAGCTAGATAAGATTAATCAAAACAATTTAAAATAAAGATACTGTATGTACTCTACGTACATGTCTCAAAAGCGTGTATGTAAATATCTCTATGTCAAATAATATAATTTATTAATGTGAAAGATTATTTTTAGGTGCAAGTTGTTATTCCGTACACGTCAGAATATACACCAGTACCATTTCAACAATCTTACGGAGATTGGAGTATCAAAACCAATTTTGAAAGAACACAACCAAGAAAAGTTCCCTCAAACGGACAAAACATCGATAATTACATTCAACAGGAATCGAGAAACGATATTCGAGTTATAAATCATTTGCAATCTCAATTCAATGATTCGAACAAATCAAATGTACAACCAATAAAAGCAGTAACAAATACAATACAAAATAGTACAAGAAATTTTATATCGAAAATTGGCAATTCTATCGATGTACGCCGATTGCAAAAAAATATTGATAATTGGACAATACAAGTGAGTTTATAAGTAATAAGTTATAAGTTTATAATTTTGTTATATTTAAAATTCAAGTCGCCGCTGACAATAAAATCGTTTTAATCTTTTAACTCAGGAATATTCGAAGCCAACAACGTCCAACACCGTTTCATCAAGTTCCCCGCATCCTTATCTGCTGCCATCAAAGAAAATACCGACAAAGTATCTAACAACAACGGAACCAGGGGAATCGAAGGATCACAACGAAAGTGTGAAAACGTATTCTTTAGCCGGCTTCAGCTTCAACGAAGTGGAACACGAGGGTTCCGCGAGCAATCACATTGAAGAAACTAGAACGGTAAATTACTATTTTTCTACCTGCACGAAAAATTTATTTAATAATTAATTCTTATTAACGTAATTACGTAAAACATTAAAACACTTTTGTTAGAAATAATGTATGTGCAAATTGAAGCGTATGGAAATGCGGAACAAAATGGCGTTTGAATTATTATAGATTTATGTTACTGTAAGAGGAGTGTGAGGGAATTATTTAAAATATGAAAAAATAGGGACAATTTTATTTGAAAATAAAATAATGTAAAATAGGATTTTCTAATATGAAATATTCTGGCATAAAATATTTGAAAATAGGATATCTCAGAAGCAAAATATTCCAAAACATAATACTTCATAATAAAATATTTGAAAATAGAATATTTCAGAGTAGAATATTTCAAATTAGCATATTTCGAAATAAAATATTTAAAAATATAATAATATTCCAAAGTACTCTTCAAATTAGAATATTTCCAAATATCTCAAAATTACATACTTCAGTTTAGAATATTTCTAAATATAATGTTTCAAAATAAAATATTCTAGTTGTAAAATATATAGAGGGATAAAAGAGAACTTGTCCCAGCGTTTAGACAATACACTTCGGCGACCTTCGTGAACTTTCGTTACAACGGCAGAGGGCGCCATTATTCGTAAAATTCCATGCGAATACAAATAATGGCAATGTAACAAGAATCTACTGTATACTAATCTACAGCATATCTATATATTCTAACAAGTGTGTTGAACTTTCCCAGCCGGCCAAAGTTTTACGAGTAGAAACGACTAAAACCCCGGACAGTTTAGAGAGCTCGAATAAATCTGCGACGGAAGAAAAGTCGACATGGAAAGCGTACTCTGTGTCCATATCACCGGTGGACAAAGAACGAGTCTATGTGGTGACACCCCAGGCAATTTTGGAAACCGTTAAGAACACTTCCCAGGAAGAAAAAGAAAATTCGCAGCAAATGAATGAGACGAAAATCACCAGCACGGAAAGTAACGGAAATTTCAGCGAATTCGAAGCAATTGAGAAAGCATATCAGGTGCTTCCTCAGGCAGTGAATAATTTAGCTGTCGCGTCTACGGGGAAGGAAAATATTCCTTTATGGGGAATTATGGAACACGAGGAGTTCGCTTCGTTGAATTTGGACGAAACCGGCGAAGGGGCGACTGGAGAAGGCGTGGATGGACCTGTTCTCTATTCTGGACACTCGAAGGTGATTAATCATTAAAAATATGACACGAATTCTTTTTAACATTTTGCTTGCAGGTTTCACGAGCCAAACGATGACATGTACATTGTTGAAATGTGGAAGCTCAAAGAACTGCAATTGTGAATAAATCGATTCTTCGTCGATGATTTCTGAAGACTGTTTTTCATCTTATGGAATGAAAATGGAGTAATTGTAGTGCAAGTGTAAAACTTTATGGCCAGTGTATAGTTACTTTATATGTAGTAAACATAAGTAAGTATGGTAACTAAATAAAGTATACTCTCGTTATATTGCCGGTTCACATGGACTTGCACAGCGAAGTTTCCTTTATCGTGTGCAAGAATTTCTATACCGTGGCAATATAACGAAAGTCTACTGTATCGTAAAAATGTTAAGAAACAGTATAGTCATGTCATATTTTTCTACTTACGTAAATATTATTTGTTGTAAATACACGTAAAGTATTATAATTATAAGTACAATAGATTTACGTGTAAATTTTATTACTGTAATTGTATAATATTAGAAAAGTAAATTAATATTAATAAATGTTACTAGGTTCTAATAAACAGAGTATGAAGTCAAATAAAATAAAGTAAATATTTAATTTACTGTCAATTTTAAATTAAATTTTAAATTACTTTATTATAATTGTTTAAAACAACATACGTGTCGATGTACACGTACCAGGTAGTTACACCCGGATGGAACGTGTTAAGAGTTAATTGTTCCGTTTAGAATGTAATTATATTACGTTCCAACTGTCTTGTAACATTTTTTTTCGTCGACACATAACAGTCTGCTTTCCTGTCTCGTCACTTTCGATGATTTTGCATAAGTGGAAGCCAGCCAAAAAGAGTTAGTTATTTGTATTCCGACGACACCATAAATGCACATTCATAGGTATTCCGCGTACGGTTGAATTGACAATGTTTGAGACTTTCCCGATTATACGGTGAAAGGAGATCGTATTCCGGTTCATGTTGTTTCATCAATTGAAAAGTGCGAGCACTTCACCATCATTTCGTGACTGAAATGACAAATGATGATACTCTCTAATTTTATTATACTCTAAGATGTCATGAGATATTAAAAATATAAAAATACATTTTAAGGTTGAAAACTAGTTAACCATTACAGAAAATATCCCTCTATTTAAAAATAATTATACAAATCTCACATGACACTTCTAATTTTTTTCACAATATTGTATATTATGGAACAACACAAATTAAAAAGAACATTTTAGTATATTTTTTTTATTAAAATGTTATTGTGTATTTCAAGAAAAATTCAGCAATGCACATGACAAATATGTTTGAACATTTTATCAGTGTTCTTTATAAATATTAATAGAAAATTATAATTAAGCGTACCCTAGTTTAGGTTCAATAGTGACTTTATGACTAAAACCATCACCGACGGACGGAAAAATTTCCCTAATACTATATACTGTTAAGCATTATGATCTAGTGAATTACATATTTTCAGAATATAATACAAAAAGCAATCATCTTCTTTGAACAAAACTGCTAATAGTGCGTTGTTCCTTTAACGATGTGTGAGAACTTTTACCGGAAGATTGTGAGAAAAAACGATGTATTGTTACCGTGAAAGATCGTGGTTGTTAAGATAGTCGAGCCGCGGTAAGGAAACACTTCGTATCATTAAGTTCGTTTCTGTGGCGTACGACATTGAACAAGCACGCGACCTTAATTAAATTCCATGGCGGTTACATACTTCATATACCGTAGCGGTTACTACTTTCTTATAGAAAGCTCCTATAAAAACAAATTATCTAAAAAAAGGGAAGATAATAAATTAGGCTCGTTACGAAAAAGAAAACAACGTCTTGTACAAAAATTTCTAATATTTTATAATAATATCAGTAAAACACACGTACACTATGATTTATTACATTTATACACAGAACTTTCAATGCTACTTAAAATAATATTTTTTTATTCTATTCTCGTCCTTACATAATACTTTTCTAATAAATAGACCTGTTGATGTTGAAATGGAAAGTTGATGGTACACATAAATAGAAAATGAATTTTAACTAATTTTTCTGTTATATCAGCATTCTTCTTGCGCTATTTTTTTCTGTGAATTTTTTCTTCGGACGATTGACATTTCTACTGACCATATTATCACTGTAAGTGCTGTAACGCAGTTTATGGTGATTAAACTAGGTGTATAGCTTCCGACGTTATCACGCATCACACCTGTAAGTAATTATAAACAGAAGGAATTAATTAAATATTCAAAATCTACGCGCGCAACTAAACGCGCCTAGAAACTCGCGCATGCGCGTAAGACCACGCGTAAATATTCGAATGTCCGCGCATGAAGTTCTTTATAAAACAATGAAAAACAATATAATAACGTAACAACATTAGATTTCAAATCTAAAAAATACTGTCTATACCGTCTATAAAACAATTTTTGTAGAATAATTTAAGTTTTATATCATTTACCTAGCATTGGTCCAGCAGAAAGAAGTATCACTCCATTTACTATCATTTGAATTCCTGAAGCATTCGGTAATCTGTGAATTGGCACGTACGATGGAATCACCAAACTCATGTAAACTGAACGAAAACCTTTAGCTATTCCCAAGCCTACAGCCACACTTATTACTGAGATGAATCCCTTGGTGAATATTAAAGCTGCAATATAAATTAGAGCAATGTAAAGAATTGTAACAAAACGATTTTGTTAATTTTTGCTAGCATTAAAAATGACCTAAAGAATTAAAACAATGTTCATAATATTCATTCGCATGTTCCACGTTATTAATCAGTCAATCAAGTTTTATTTGATCAGTTGAAGGTACTTCAACATCACAAGCTTATCTACTTCAAACCTATCTAAAGCACATCTGTTTTTTATAATTTGTCTGGACAATAAAAAATTAATTGACTAATTGGTGGATTGAAACTTCAGCTTAGAAACTATATAGTAATCATCAGTGCATTTTTGCACTTAAACAGTGTAAAACTGTTGTTATATGCAATTTTAATATTAAGCGTATTTTAAAGAAAATTTTGTCAATTTGCATAACTAGTGTTTTCTTCAGAATGTGCCAATAAATGGTGTACATATTTTATTATTATATTATTCAATAAATAAATGTTAGGTTAATATTATATTGCCTTTTTAAAATTACAAATGTGCAAGACGACCATCATGAACGTCAAAATTATGTAATATTTTTACTACTATTTCTGTATTTGGTGCTAACATTCATATGTAGATATAGTTTATTAGCATACACTGAATAATGATGTATGTAAACGTACCTGTTCTGCTAATAATTAAAAGGCACAAGCTAAACATGTACATTATCCTTGGAGGTTGATGGAGCCATTCTCCAACGAAAGGAGAAATACTTCTAAAGACGAGATCGACACTGGCAATGGTACTCATTACGGTCGCAATTTGATTATTTGTGAACTTCATATCCGACAAAATAAATGGTGTTAACTGAGAGAAATTGATTTCAGCAAAAATAGCCACAGACATTCCTATCATCATATTTACGTAGATTGGATCTCGTAGTAGATCGAGATCGAATAAATCTGTTATTATCTTGAATATTCGGCACTTGTTTGTCTTCTCAGTCCTAAAAATTAAAATTCGAAAAAAAAATTTCAGTATTTATTATTAAGTATTAATATAAATAATTATTAATTATTAATCAGTACTTTCTAGTTATAAATGATCAATGTTAATGATCAGTAACCAATAATAAACGATCAAGGACCAATGATAAATTATCAATGGTTCAAAATCAATTATCGCTAATCAATGATCATTAATTAGCGATTAGTGACCAATTACAAATAACTATTGATCAATTACTAATAATCAATAATCGAAAACAACAAATTGCTAACTATTAATGACACTATCAACTACTAACCAATTGGCAACCTGTACCAATTATTAATTACTAATTACTAAATGCTGTCAGGCATTAAAATAAAAATATTTATGTAATATACATTTATACATACTTTTCTTTGTAATCAGTTCCACTATCCATCTTTTTAGTATTATTTTCTTCTAGCAAAGTATTACTTTCCGTTGTATTTAGCGTATCATAATCGTCTTCACGACTATTTAAATTATTGTATTTCACCGAAGAGTTAGGCTTCCCTTCAAAAATTTTAATACTGCTACCAAGATTAATCGTCTCGATGCTTTTATCTGAAATTAAAATTTGTGAATTACATTTTTGTTCTTTCTTCGATGAATTTGTTATACTTACATCGTTTATTAAGACGAGCTACTTTACGCTCTTTTGCCGCGCGACAATCTTCAGTGCTTCTGTATACATCTTGTTCTGTTTCTCACAAAGAAAATAAGTTTTTCATTGAAATTTAAACAATGTTACACATAAGTAATAGTTGAAAAGTTAGAATATACAATTTTTCTTACCACTTGGCGTTTCTGATAATTGCCGAACGTATGATATTGTGTCATATCCGTATATGCTTCCAATTTCAGCATCATGATCGATGCTCGAAATAGTCATGTTCCTTCTTCGTGGTACATTTTCCGTTAAATCCAATACCGAAGCTTTTAGACTTACTTCGTCCGGAATATTACTTTTCTCGTCTAAAATTAAATTCAATTCGTTAATAACAGCTTTGTGAAATAATTGATTAATTTCATTATCATGAAATTAAATTCAATGAATTAGGTAAGATTGTTGAGAAATAACTAAGCAGTTTTGTTATCATTTAAACAAAGAATTTGTAATCGTATGCATTTTATACTATTATGTATTAAATATATATCATATTTATTACTGTAATAATACTAAAACTGTTCTACTCTGTTCAAAAGACACTTGCCTATGTTTTTATTTTCTTTTTCATTAGTTAATTGTACTTCATTCGTTGTATTCGATTCATCTGTCACATTTTTTGTATACCATTTCAGAGGGCGAAGTAGCAAGCTACCCATCAAGGAATGTAAACTGAATGCTCCAAATAATAATATTGTACCCTAGTAACACAACACGTAAAAATATAAAATAATTTGCAAATAAAAAGTATAGATTTGAATAAAATTTTATAATATCAATCAAACTTTGATTTCGTCGTATATAAAAATTTCTTCTCAACTTTACTTGAGAAGATATAAATATTTTTATATAAAAATGTATGTAAGAAGAATTTAAAAAGTACCTGAGATCCATAGTACGAAACCAAGAACGTAGTTATTTGGGGTACAATTATAGGACCAAATCCGCTAATTGTTAATGCTAAAGATATTGCTCGTCCCCTTTTCGTTGTAAAATAAGAATTCAGTGCGTACGAAAAGGCAGACATCGTTATACACGTACCCAGTGCTGTATAATAATAAATAACATTAATAGCGATGGAAAGATTTAAAAAAATACGAAATGTGTCTCGATATTTTCTTGCGCCAGGGGATCTAAGGAAGGAGCAGGAAATTATGAGTCAACTTTATTTTACACAATCGCAATTAATCAAGAGGAAACTTATCTAATAAGGAAATGAGGCTTTATTTTGTGAGAAATTAACTCTCAAAATTAAGTGTAAAAATTAGTACACTTACAAGCAAATATTCCATAGCAGATTATGAGGAGAGTGAATGATCTTGCAAACGTTGTCATAATTACTCCAGTACTATAAAGTAAACTACCAATCACAGCCATTTTCCTGTATCCAAAGGTCCGCAGTAGTGGGCCATTGGTCAATCCAAGTATCATACCAAACGCTAAATTTGTATTAATAATAATTGTGCTTTCTGTTGCATTGAAACCAAAAAGTGGAAACGTGTCTTTGAATACTAATACGAATCCTTGCATAAGAGATACCGTGCACATCTAAAAACAATAATTTTATAAATGATAATCAAATGACGTTTTAATAACAGAAGAAATTTTAATAATCAATATTAAACTTACCCCATTTAATGCATACGCCACGACTATCATCCACCCCCAGTTTCCATCTGGAGGAACTACTTTAACTCCTTCCCCACTCATTTTCTTTTCGTTCTTCATTATAAAAGAGATTCTTTTTACACTGTAATTCAATAAACTATAACTTCAATACTTTTAAATTAAATAGTCAATCTTCCACATTTCACGTTCTTCGTACAATTATACACGTAATGCAATACTAATAAATAGGCACATATACAATTCATATATCATATTTTTATTTAAATTAATTTTATTGTAACAATAATATCACTTTACGAAATTGATCACTTTCTAAGAATTGCGTGTTACATACTGTCACTCACACTTTTAAGGTAATTATTAAATTAATAATTTAAGTTGCTTTTAAGGTAATTATTGAACTAATATTTTAAGTTAAATAATATTATTACATTATTTAAATTATTATTTAAGTTAAATATTTGTAGCACTCTCAAATACTATTGACCACAATTTATTTTTATTTAATACATGTGATGTAAGAATTAAGTGGTTAATGGAACTTTTGGACACAATAGATTGGATATCATAGCAATAACGTCTGTCACGCGCCCAGTTCTAAAGTGCCCGTATAAAATTCATACTCATTACGTTTTATTGTAGATAAACCTAGATACTGCAGGTTAATCTAATCTGCTTTTATTGTATGTCATCGAATTTTTATCATCATCGATTATCGAAAAATTGCAACAATTGCTACTAAAATGATAGACGTTTCCGTATTGTCATTCATTATTGATTGTAATACGTACTTCCTCGATTGCTTAATGTTGGTTCATATATGACTACAATTATTACATAGTTTTATAGCTTTGCTTATGCAAAATGAGAGTATAGAAGATAGTTTAAAAATTTGAAATTTTTAGAAATTGAAGTTATTTTAGTTAGTTACTTTAATACATCAATGACAGTTCAACACATTTTCCAATACCTCTCCTCAATCAATTCTTCTCTCAATCTCTTCAATATCAAAGAAAATTCATATTCTCAAAAATTAACATTAAACACTAAAATCGTAAAATAGAAATCAAATATTGATATACAATTGAATATTCACATCACATTGTTGCTAATATTAAAAAATTAAATATTAACATTATAAAATATCTATATTAATAAATATATTAATAAAATAAAACTTGTACGTGTTAAGTATATTAAATATTCATTGTCAGAATAAAACATACTAAAATTGAGCTAATAAATTAATAAATAATCTCTGAAATTAGTTCACTGGCAACAATTAATCACTAGTTCGAAATACACTATCACCCAAAAATTTCAGTACACATTCTAATATAAACATTCTGATTTCAGTACACATTCTGATATGGTAAAAAATATGAACACAGTGTACAAAAATCTTTTAGCCGATAGTGCTCTTACAATAATATTTTTAATTACAAATAAGCATAAATCTATTTGTCATCTTTATTGCAAAGTTCGTAGGAACAATTTAATTTTTCGGATGTTTTTTCCACATCCGCCAACTTTTTCGATCTTCTCTTCGTGATATACATCTCAAGCAACCACGAGAGTGTGGTGAGAAACGTGAAAACGTTGATAAAATGAAGCATTAGCATGTAATTCGACGTTGCGTCTCTGATCCAACCGACGACTGGTCCCAGTGTCAAGAAAAGTATACCGTTGGTTAATAATTGAAGACCAGTCGCACCTGGTAGCCTAGATAATGGAACGTGACTCGAAATCACCAGAGCCACGAAAATTGTTCGCAAAGCTTTTCCAATGCCAATTAAAACGGCTATTGCTAAACTAACTTGGAAGTCCCCTACGTGTGCCAGCACTGAAAAATAATTTAATTTTAATATTTGTTCACACTTCATAAAATATATCTTATTAGATTATATGTTTACTGCGCAAGATATTTAAAATCAATTTCAACAAAATTTTATCATTCGACAGTTAAATTTTGTTCAATATTAAATATACAAGACGATTGTTTATATGAAAATTGTACGAAAAGTTTAAAAAATATTGGATGCATGTAAGAACTTAGTAAAATTATAGTATCATTAGTGACACTACTTTTTATCAGTTGCTAGTTCCATTGATTCTTAACTGGTATGGTGGCCATTTTGTTACGTCGAAGACATGGAGAGATCACGTAGAAAATTGTAGGTAAATTAAAAATACAAAAAGGTAATAATATTATAGTAATTACTCAGTAAGTTAATTAACTAAATAAGTTAGTTACCTAGTTAAAATAATTAGACCTTGTTAACCGTACTTAAGTTAATTTAAAAAGTAATAAAATTACTGGAGAATGATTGACTACACCGTACCAGTTAGGCTGAACTTGCAAATTGTTTATTACTTTATTTTTTGCTCCGTTCCTTTTTGCTGTATTTCTGTGTATTATTTGTTTGATATCTTACCGATACGACCAACTCCTATCATACAGATACCCAGTAAATAAAATGTTCTATTCTGCAATCCAATGAAATCGGCGACGAAGGAAATAATCAATCTGGCGCCAACGTCTACTCCGCCCAGGATCGACATAAAGGATGCAATTTGAACTTTCGAGTATCCATAATCGCTCAATATAAACGGTGTCATCAGAGAAAAATTCAATTCCGTGAAGTTGGCAAACGTCACCCCCAAAAGTATGTTCACATAAACAAGATCGCGCAAGAGATCCAGATCAAAGAATATTATTAATGCTTCTAGGAAAGTTTTCTTCTTTTCCTCTTCAGTGCATTCCTACAAATTTTAATTCCTATTTTCAAACTTTAATTTTGATAATTAGTTCAAATTCAGTTCAATGTAAAGTTAACAGAAATAATTAACAAGTTTAATTGTTAGGTTGATGAAGACGTTTAACAATTTGCATATTTTTTAATAATGTAATAATAGCATTGGTCCATATATATATAAGAGAAGACTGAACTTAAATTTAACTTGAATTTCAATCACTGAATTAATACAATTAATGAATCTTCGTGTAAACACTATAATTGCTTCACATATTTCTTCTGCAGAATTATTTATTAGAATTGAATGAATCAAACTATCTCACTACAATCACTATTAATAACTTCAAACAGGTTTTTCATCATACTATCTGTGACAAATATTTGTCTGGTAACATTCCTTAGTCATGACCCTGAATTTATGAAAAATTGTTTATATATAGTTTTTAATCGAAACAAACACCATTCAATAATATTTTGTCATGCTCATGATAAATCTCTTTATATCTTGTGATAAAATTTGAACTTTTTTTTAAATGAAATTTCATGTTCATGAAATTTTTATTGAACCAATACGTTATTAAAACTTACGTTTTGTATCAATTTATCAGTTTCAGCAATTATTTCTTTTTGTTCCGATTTATTAATACCATTAGAACTTTTAACTTGTCCATTAGATTCTTCTACAAGTTCGTTCGATTCTTTCACAATTATCAATGGACTTATGGGTTGTTGATAAGTTGAAATCCTTCTTTGATTTTTCTCTGATCCGTTATCTTGTCTGTAAAGAATTATTTTTATCTGACATTAACAACATTCTGGAATTCATGTTTGTAAATAAACACTACAATACAGTTTACCGACAGTTCAAGCTTCTAACAAAATTGATAAACAATGAATTTTATAATAGTCATTAATAGCTTAACTTTTAACAGGTTACTAATCTTCCTATCTACAACAAATATTTACCTAGAAACATTCCTTACCGACCATCCTGCGTTGAGACTGGATTGTCTACTTAAATTTATAGACAGCCTTGAATTTTTTAATGAATTCTCTTTCCTCGATACTCTAGATATTATAGATGGAGTAGAAGTATGTCTTCTCGAAAACCTATAACATATTTCCACTTTTAAGATCCACATTTTTTGTAAATGAATAAAATCTTAACTTTTAGATTATACTAAAAAGTGTACATAAAACTCGATATACGTGCAAAAGATTATATAAGTAATATTTTGGTTTTAAATCCTAAATTAAACTTTCGAGTTCTCAAGTTATGAAGTTTTGTAGCTTTGTAATTATTAAATTTCGAACTCTAAGTTATCAAGCTATTAATTTATTAAATTTTTAAGTATGATATCCTGTAGTTTTAAGTCATTCTAAATTTTTTAGCTTCGCAATTATTAAGTTTTAATTTCTAAATTTTATAGATCTATAGTTATTTGGAGTTTTAAGTTAAAAAATTCCAAATTCTGAAATTATTAAATATTTAAATTCTAAGTTCCACGTTCTGAGTTTTAAATTTTGAAATTTTTACGTTCTAAGTTAGCAGATACCATCCATCGTTAGATCGTGACATCATAGGTGTTCCAGGCTCCACCAAATCTATACCGGAAGGTCCTTCTTCTTTGTCATCATAATACAAATATTGACTTCCAAACTTTTGTTTCCAGACACTTAAATTACTGTAAATATTTTTGCTAATATTTTCCAATGATTTACTTGGAACAGTATTTTCATTACTTTCACAAGCAGTTTCTGTGACATTCTAAAGAAAATGTTATTATAAATTACGTTACGAAATTATTAACATATAAAAAATAATATCAATTAGTTAAAATAGGAATGATAAATTTAAATATACTATTTTTTAAATTTTAAATACTTTTTTTTTTTATAAATTTATATAGACTTTCTGTGCAATCAACAGAACAAAGTAGTCCTATAACGAACACACATGTAATTTTATCACAAATTGCTTCAGGCCTTCAACATAGTGGACTTTAACATTCCTGTTGATAAAATTATTTATTGTCTTTATTATACCTGACCAGGTGTCGGTAATGCTTGACATTCCACAACCACGCCGTTATCGATTTTCGTATCTTCCTCCTTTTTTACATGCCACTGAACTGGTTGCAATAAAAGTGCACAAGCAACAGCATTAAAAGCTACAGCTCCAAAAATGAGAACGGTACCTTTTACTCCGTACGCAGGTATCAATTGTGTAATTATCTAAAAATTAACGATATAAATATCAACTTTATAGTCGAGTAGATTTATGCTGAAAATCAATACCTGAATCAAATGTTGCATCTAACTTTTATTCATTATTCCTGTACGTTATCAGTTAATATAAAACAAATTTAATTGTTTTAAAATTATGGCAAAAAATAAAAATAGTCAAACGTTTTGCGGAAATGCTTTTATTTAACAAATTAAAATTTCTGTAACTCATTTTGTCATTTTTATGTATGAATATTTGTTTTAGCGAATAAATAACAATTTATTATTTTTTAATATTAATCGCAATATTTTTTGCTCCTCGAATTTTTATAATACACACGAATGATTAAAAATTGGATGCAATGTTTGTTTTCAGGAATGTATTCTGCTTAAATCTACTGGATTATTGAAGAAAAAGGAGTTCCATAAAATATGTGGCTGTAAAAATATTAGTTAAAAATTAGGTACTTGTGGCATCACTATGGGTCCCATGCCAGTACACGTCCAACTGAGACCAATGGCAATTCTTCTTTTTTTCTTAAAATAAGTATTTAAAGCTAACGAGTTCGCCGACATCGCGATACCAATTCCAGCACCTAAAAATTGATACTTAAATACTAACAAACTGACAAAATTGTTCATTCATTTACACAGCAGTGTAGATCATTTATATTACTCTTGTATTTCTTGATATAAGTTAAATAAGCTATCTGCAATCTACGTAACTAGTATAAGAAATAGTCACTTCTCTTATATTCAATAAGACTCTCGTTATATTGCCATCGATGGTGCTATAGAGAAGGTAGGCAACTTATCAGTTTGAAAACTATACAAAATTTAATGATAAATTCAAGGACAAAATAAATTTAATGTCATTACTTTAAATAAACTTCAAACTTATTTTTACGTGTAAAATGTTAATTAATATAATTGTAATTTAATTTTAAATCGTCTTGATAGTTTTATTCGCCCCTGTAAAAAAGATTAAAACACAAACTTATATTTTTTCTAAAGTAAAACGAAAACTATTTTTCTTCTCTACAAAGAGAAAAACAGATGATCAATCGATGGCAATATAACGAGAGTCAACTGTACTCGTAACTTACCGTACAAAATCGAAAAGAATATTAAACATGCGCTGAAGCTTGTCGTTGTTGATAAAATCGTAATTGAAACAGCGCAAATAAGAGCCCCAACGAACGATACTTGTCTATAGCTGAATTTTCGAAACAAAGGACCATTAGCTAAACCTATAACACAAGCAATTTTAATCGAAAAACCTTTCCATTCAATATTATTCGTTATCAAACTAACGGCGGTATAAGAAAGTGTCATCAAAATATTTACGTATTCGTCTCGCTTTATGATAAATATAAAAATAAAATTTACGTGCCATGAGTTTGTTAATAGAGTGTGATAATATATTTTCGTCTTCGACGATTAAAGTAAACTGTGTCAGTGATTAACGTAGATATAGCAGAAGTTTATAATTCAACAGTTATTACTATTATCATATTAACAATATTCAAAATTACTCTTTCCTTATTTTAATTATTCGAATACCTTTGCGGTGAATATTTATCTTTATGGTATTTTGTTTTTCTTTTTTAAATTAAATTATTCAAAACTTAAAGGTAGTGGAAAAGAAAGGTTATAGATGAGAAGATGTTGTAGATAAAAATTTATAACAAACACTTTATTAAATGTTACTAATCTAGAGAAAGTTATACAGCGCTGAATATAACAGAATCTCGTTATATTGCCATTTTTACACAGATTCTCACATTCACTAATAATGAAAATATTAATAAACATCCACTAAAATACATCCACCACTGTATTACAGATTTAATATATTTTTGAAAATTTAAAAAATTTTTCCGCAGCCATCCGTGGCAATATAACGAGGGTCTACTGTGACGTAATTGAGCGTAACTTGTACTACATATTAAACGCAGCCAAATGTTTGTTCCATTAACCTAAGTCAATAAATTTCTTTCAAAAGACCGCGTTATCTGCTACTGTGTCATTTATGGTTCGAAATTCGATATGTACGATTACGGTTATAAAACAATGATAAGAATTGTTGCAATTAATTGAGTTCGATAAAAATGTGCGATATTATTCGTACTGTGATCTCGACCACGTGCTATTATTGATATGATAAAGTAATGACGAAGGAGTTCATGAAAGATAAGGGTGAAAAGTACAGAATCATATAAAAGTGTGATAAGGTCATTTTTGCTATCGATTCGCGATAACGAAGTCATCATCCGTTAGCATTATTCTGATTCAATAACTACAGACTATGTGTAATAAAATTAATTGTAAAAAGCAATACGTGAATGTTTGATTAATAAATAAAGGAACATACCGATGCAAGACATTACTGTGCTATTTATGTTTAATATCGTAGTTGTTTGAGTAGAACTGATTCCCAATTCCGCGAATCTGTCTCTAAATATCAACCCGAAAGATTGTAATACTGGAAATATACAAAACTGAAAAAAAAGATTATAAAATTAAAATTAAATATTTGTCTATATTTCATAATAAATGATATAAGTACTTTTATCTAAATAGGAAATTATTCAATTATAAATTACGAGTGGGCAGTATAGCGCGCGGCGATGCAAGGAGTAGCAATTTTTTGCGTTGTAAAAAATCAGACTTGCACTTTTATTTTTTTTCTTTCATAATAGTTTTTGTTTATTTTTCAAGCAATTTGCAATCTTTACTCACATTAGAAAAACCAGCAGCCATCACAATAATCCATCCCCAACCACCATCAGGAGCAACAAAATTTTCACCAAGATCTGTTTTCTTCGATTTTTCCGTTTTGTTTTTCTTCCCTTTAATCACCGCTTCCTTTTGTGTCGCGGACATGATTATTTATCAGTAACTTAACTATAACAAAGTTATCAGCCGACAGTTGGAACATAAATTGCTATGTGCTATATGCAAACAGTGACCAAAACACAGTTCCACTTTTATTGCGTCTAAATTAAATATTAATTGAACGCGTTCAAATGTTTTACAAATATTACCACTTTAATTAATTTATTTTATTTGAATAAAAATACAAAAATAATAAATTATTTATATACACAATTTATATAACTTTTGATCTGTTTTAACTTATTTATTAACTTTGAATTTAAGCGAACTTGTAATTCACTAAATTGAAAATGATAGCGGCACGTTGTTAAAACCGAACACTATTACGAAACTTGAAAGATATCTGAAAACTATATAACTTAAATATTTTTTTTGATCGGTGGATAATCGTTGTTATAAAGTTTTTTACGCCATACACAGGTACACTGACGTGTTCACAGTTACAATGCAAGGTAAGAACTGCACCTTGAAAATATATTAACTTGTTGTTCAATTGTGATTGAGACTAGCGTTACTTAAGAGTTTCATAGTTTTCGATTATCCACCATTGTAAATGTTACACTAAGTGCGATAAGTGCATGCCGGCCAAATATTTCCTCGGTTATATACATTCTATGATCAACTCTATCAATTTATACGTTTATTTTACACATCAGAATCGCGTGTTGTGTTAAGATACTTTATTGTGCGAACGATGATAACGATGATTCACATTAACACTTCGATAATTATCAGTTCATGAGTGGACGATATTTATTGAATAAATATTTTAACGCAATTATTGCGTAATAACAGGTCAAAGGCATTAACAAAATTTTAATTAAAAAATTATTCAATTTTACTTATTTTCAGGTTTCAAATTTTACTTTTCAATTTCTACATTTTCATATATTAAATTCTGATTTCAAGTTACCAGCTCTAAAGTCTAAGTCTGAAGTTTCAAGCCCTAAACTATAAATTCTAAACTAATAGTTCTTCAATAAATAAGTTATAAGATACAAAACTTCTTAAGATATAAACACAAAGATCTAAGTTCTCAGCAATAAGTTCTTAGAATATAACTCTTTAGCTCTAAACTTAAATATCTGTTGTTACTTTTATTTTTAAGAACTCTCTATGCCTTACAAATGTAGTTAAATAATAACTAAAAACATTTATTTCTATTTTTATTTAATACATATGTACATAAATGCAATATAGAAATATTAACATATCACTTAATAATACTAAGCATCAATTATAATATCTGTACACTAATGCTTACTTACAATACATTTGTACAACAAAAAATGTTGAAAATATTAAATAATTTTACAATTCATTCAGTTTACAAATAATTATGTACGTTATGTACTACTATTTGGTTTGCATTTTAATTCATTAATCAAATTTAATAACTGCATGCGTTTTGATTCAGCTAACTTTTTAACTTCCCTACAATCGCATCCTTCTACTTTTCCAGTTTGTAAAACATGCTTGATAATTACATCTGTTACACATAAAACATAAATTCCACAGTCGTATCCATTGTCCTGCTGTGGGCAATCTGCTTCCACAAACTTTTTATTAAGTACATCTTTATCAAGAACAGAGTTCATTACATTCGTTGCAAATTGTGAAGCAACACTGCTGTTGTAACCTCTGGAAGAATCATAATGGTAGCACTTTTTATCATGCTTAGAAAATACTAGTAAGCTCCAATGTGAACCTCCAGCTGCGTCTTTTCGGTCACAATTATTTAAAGGGAAAATTATGCATTTGCATTCTGATACATTAGTAGGATCCAAGAATATTTCATATTGAGATGGATCAGACATTTTCAACAACTGTGTCAACTCAGGACTAATAAAATAGAATTCTTTCTTTCCATTTTTGTTAAATTTTTGGTCTAGATACTCAAAATAAAATCCTATTATAACATCGTTCAACCAGTGTGTTCCTTGAAGTAACGCAACATCGCTAGCTCTAAGCAAACAGTCATAGTAACTCAGTACAACTTTATCTGACATACTTTTTGCCATATTATTCACCACTAAAAGTTAAACTTGATAAATATCCTGGAACATAACATTCCACATAAATTAATGAATCCTTTTATATTCATATAACTATTAGTAATGCTGTTTTTTTCAATTACTAACGTTTTAGTAGGTATGTTTAATACCTAAGATCTCTCGTATTCAGTTTATAGCAATTCCAAATCCAAATTCATATGTAACCTAAACAGGAAACAAAAAAATATATTGGTAAGCGTTTTCGAGGTTAATATAGTTGCATTAATAACGTAATAATTTTATAACAGTACTTGTCAACATTTTTAACGGATTTTATATGAATTCTGAGACACTTGAGTAATAGACATTTTTTTTTAAGAATCAAATTAATTTGTAGAAATACAAATTTTAAAATAACATAAGTTTTCGGTGTTTCATTATGGAACTACTGCTTCGAAAATATAACCTATCCTCATAAAGTTTACATTCATAAATTAAATCTTTATGAATAATAAATTTTATAGTATTAACAGAGAAAATCATATTACTGTATAATAATTAATTTAATCAAATAAAAATACTGTGAACACCATGCTTTTACAGTTTTTTTAATTTTGCGCGGTTTGAAAATATGATTAACGTCATTTGTCATGCGCAAAAATATATAAAAATTAATTTAAATTGATATCGTCGACGAATTAGTATAATATGCAATAATTTTATAAATAAAAAACTGCAACATTAGAAATCATAATTTAACAATATTTAATAATAAAAATAGGTAATTTAATTAATACACAATTACAAGATTAATCAACAAAGTAAATAAACAGTTTGTGACACGTATGTGCACAAAACAATAAACAGAAACCATTTTAATAAATAATATAATAATGTAGCTAAGAAATAATTGCGAAATAAAAATAATTTAAGAATGAAAGGATTAGGAAAAAAATAATTAAAAAAATGGCAATATAATAGGTAGGTGGTCAACTTTGAATCAATCTGCAATCGTGGGTCAATTATGAAATGCTTTACGAAGGCAGTAGTAGAAGTCAGCGATCGGTGAGTCGCATGGCTTTACTGTTTCCCTGGTTCCCACTGTGTCAAGTTGACGACAAATGTACGATCGTGCAATATTCGTACAAATTCTTTCTTTGTGTATTTTATTTATTAGCTCAATTGGTAAAGAACTTGTACAGTTACAGTTAGAATTAATTTATCTACTGATAAACGAAGTAGTTGTAATTGAGGGTGGTTGAGCCATTATTCGAAAGACGATCTGTAGAAAACGATATCGAGCTAAGTGCTATGATTTGTGTTTAAGTTATAATTAATTAATTGTGCAACATTTTCTTTTGCAATGCAGACATTTGTGCTCGCTAAATGCATCGTTTAGGATTCCAGGAATCGTGCATTATGTGCGCGTTGATTAAGCAGACGTATATTATAAGTCGTAAATTTTTTATCTGAAATCTGAAAGTTTAAGAAAATAACTTAGTTTTGTTCCTAGCAGTTTTAGCTAATTGTAATAGCATTATTTCTATTCTACCGAGATCGTGGAATAATAAGGAGAAATACAATTTCGTATTTTACTAATACCACCGCTCGCTGCTAGATGACGATAGTTGTACTGTTTTGTTAAGAGAGGAACTTTTAGTTTTCCATATTTTATAGTAAACTATTGTTCAGTTTTTGTTACAAAATAAAACAGGTTGCTTTTAAAAGGAAAGATTTATTTGAAAAAATTGTATTACTTATCAATTTCTGTGAATAAAGTATATCACGTAGCAATGTTGTGTGCAATAATTAGTAGGAATCTCTTCCCTTTAGTCGTCATTTTAAATGTGATATAAAGTTTAATAGTAAATTAAACTTCATGATAGAAGTCTTCGTTGCTTTTTATAATTTGTATGTAGGATTAGTTAATAGTAAACGAACATTTATGTAGAATATTACATTATTTTGACTTAAAGAACAACCAAACGCAACTTTTGAAAATCTTATACACATCTATTATACTCTATCACTAAATAATATTACATTATTATTTCTTAAATAACAGTCATCAGTGCACGGTAATAAAAATAAAAATAACTAGTATATTGATATTTTCAATAACATAAATAATACAATTAAAAAATAAATTATTACAATTATAAAAGATTATAAAATTAGAAAAGCAATTAATAAAAATGGCATTTATTCATGCCAAATTATATGTACAAGTTTAATTATACTTGGAATGCTAAACTTGAACATTTCTTCAAAATTTTGTTATTCAAAGTACAGTCTATTTTATTAACGTTTATATTATAGAATAGAATAACAATTGTTCATAAATATCTGCAACAATGTTTCAATCATTTCTGCTTGCAACATGGTTGGTCCATTATTTACAATCCTAGTGTCAAAGTTTATATAATTGTAACAGAATTTATATAATATTCATATGAAACAACAACAATGCTATCGATCCAGTCATCTGTTAACTAATAATCAATCATCCAAACCAGTTGTTAACAAAAGAATTGAATCCGTTACTAAGAGAAGAGAAGATCCCGCTATTTGAGTCTGAAGCAGTATTGGTTCCAGAATGAGGTCGAAAATGTATCACATGATCCCGATTAATGTGGTCCCTATTTCCATTGTAAAAATTTGACGCAGCTTCATCTTCATTTGGATGTCTCTATTAATTAAAATTGTAATTATTGAGCAGACTCAAAAGAATGGGACTGATACATCGTAGAAATGGCTAAGCTTGCTTTGGATTTTCCTCCTTCATGTTCATTAATCTTGTATAGATTATAATCTGCATGCAATGTTAAGCTTGTTGATAAAGAAAATTAGTCATAGTCATGATTCTTTTAATTGTCAAACAGTAAATATATATATCAAGGCAAAGATCTAATCTTCAGATAGCATGAGTACAGGGAATTCCAAAAAGAGCTTATATGTGTATAATGATACTTACGTTTGCTCTGAACAGTGTCACATTGAAAGACGTTGGGTGTTGCTCTAATACTCTAAACTCAACATCACGAGGCATATATCCATTTGCATATACCTAGTAGAGATAATAAAATTTAGAATAGCAAGATGTCTTATTATCAGAATAGCAAGAGCTATTTTGATAGTACAACTATGTTTCATTAAATTGAACATATAACTGATAATTAGACCATATTTAAATTACCTCTAATTTGTATACTCCTGGCAGTAAGATTCTCCAAAATTCACCATATTTTGTAGTTAGAAAACTAACATCCCTTGATTTAACTTTGATAGATGCTCTCTCAATAGGGTTTCCATTGTCATCCACAACAAAGCCACGAACACCTCTGTGAGCTTCTGCTAAGAACTTGATGAGAGCCTACAAAGAGCCTCAAAATATACATATACAGCTTTTACTTATAATTCAATTATTTTTTATTAAATATTGATGCTTGATGATCATTGTCAGATATTCATTGCTTTTAATATATGACTCTCCAAATTGTTTTTTTTAATAAATCTTTTTATGTGAAGCCATCAGAATATTAATGATAAAAATCAAACATATTGCACAAAATCCTTTTACTTCAATAACTTACCACACGATTTTCCTCCCAGTAGAATTGTAAATCTGAAGCAGGTGGATATTTACAACATGAAAGTTCCAAAGTGATTTCCATACATCCATTCCACACATAATTGAAATCTTGCATTCCTCCAGTAAGCGGATACCATTGAGCACCATTGGTGATGCCATTTTTGAACCCTGGTTGTGTTGGTGAACAAGGTAATCCGTGGTACATAGATCCATGATTACGTGAATATACTAGTGATAGGTGTTGAAACACGTCGTCATCTGGTGAAATACTTGGTGATGATGTATAACTCTGAAACACTAAATTTTTTGTATAAATCTTGCATCAAATTTAATTTCTCTTATTTGAAATTTTAATGTTTAAATAAACATTGCGCATATGTATTGCAAATTTTTATTAGTTAATATTAAATAAATTAGTTAATATGTTAATTATTGGAATAAAGGTTGCAAATAGTTATTAATTTTCAAATTTAAATGTTTAATAGTTTTTTCAAAAAGTCAATACTAAACTTTTTATACCTGTTATTATTAGTAATGAATAGTAATAGTTATTAATTTAAAATTGTGCACATTCTTAATTTTAAAGTGAAAAATATTATATTGTTATTATTATTATTATTATGTAAGTTGTTTTTATTTAGTTTCTGAAGTATATTGATGATTCACATTATGTGATAATATATTTCCACATTTTTATTAAATAATATGTCGAAAAGTAGAAAGCGGAAATATTTTAGGTGAATAAAATTAGTCTCATCCTGTACATTATCTATGTTATACCTGCACATAATGGCGCTGATCGGCATATTCCTGACAGCATGAAAAATTATACAATACGATGAGATTGCTTTCGATGATAAATTACATAATGTTATTCTTTTTATAACAAGAAAAGATATTTATATATAATAAAAAATGACTTATTATCGTGCACAATTGATACATATGTGAGTACAAGGTTTCTGCAGTAGCTTCTGGTTGTCATCATTTTTTCAAGAATTGTAGGCATAAAATAATTGTATGCACAAAAGTTATATGATACGAGAGCGCAAATATATTAAACAATATTTTTATATCATTATGTTAGCAGGTATAAAGTAATCAAATTATCTTATAGGTTATTTAAATAATATTTATAACTGTAATTATATTACTTCATTATTGTTAGGCTTATTCAATACAATATTTATGCTGACGAATTTAAAATATATATATACATCTTTTATTAATTAGTTTTTTATACATATATTGTGTTTAGAAATGGATTACTTTGCAGCGGAAGGAAATTTCTGAAACAGGAAGTACCAGTGGGCTCATTGTTTTGGAGACGTGTCACTTCAAGCGTGAAACATCGGCACTTCCTGTTCTAGGATCTCCTTCCGGTAAAAATCAGTACATTTATAAATACAATATTTCGAAAGACAGTTAATAAAAACTATGTGTTATAGTTTGTTTAATTCGTCTAAAAACACTTTATCAGATGACCTAAAAAAAATACATATATAATTTTATCTAAAAAAAATTTCATCCTTCATACCTTCTAACATAACATAAAAAAAAAATTGGATCATACAATTTTCAAATGAACAATATTTAAATTATTTTAATTTTTGATATTTAAAATAATAAGGAACGATCACAAATTAGACGCGTTGTTTTTTTAGATTGTTTAGTTAAGATTGTTTTTTATTCGTGTGACCTTTGTTAAAAGGAAAGGAAAACGAATCCATATATAAAAAACAAACTTACGCGAGTTTGGCGTATTGTCAAATGGGTAACTAGCAACCAAGGCACCTCCGTGCAAACTTCCCGATAACACAAATTGAATTTTGGATACCCATTCTTTAACAGCTTCCGTTTCCGGCTGACTTTTCTTATTGTTTTGCTTAAAGTAGTCGGGGAAATTGCGGTTCAAATCGAAACCTCGAGCGTTGTATCTGCGCAGAAAAATATAATTTAGCTCTTAAATAGAACTTATTTTATATTATTTCAATTAATTAAATAAAATTTATTTTACATTATTTGTATTTGTTAAATAAAATTTATTTTACAATAATTACATTTCTTAAATAAAATTTATTTTGTAACAATTGTATTTATTAAATAAAATTTATTTTGTAATAATTGTATTTATTAAATAAAATTTATTTTGCATTACTTGTATTTGTTAAATAAAATTTATTTTACACTATTTGTATTTATTAAATAAAATTTATTTTACATTATTTGTATTTGTCAAATAAAATTTATATTACATTATTTGTATTTGTCAAGCAGAATTGTTTTATTTTACATTAATATTAATTTCGATAGGTCTCACCTGCCTTGTCCACCTTCACAGTATCCTTCTTTTGATACTTCAAAACCATCAGGATTCATTGACGGAAGAATATGAATTCTAGTATTATCTAGAAGCCACGTTATGTATGGATCTGATCCATAATTTGTTACAAGATGCTAAAAATGAGAAAATTATGAAATTAAACGTAATTACGAATTAAGATATGTCCTAGTAAGAGTTACATTAAACGATAATGGAAGGTAATGGTAATGGTAATGATAATAGCAGAGCGGGATTAAGAATTCTAAAGATCTCACACATTAAAAAGATTTTAGTCCCTCTATATGTACATTTAGTTCAAAATATAATTGTAAAATAAAATTTTATTTTTTAGACTTTGGAATTTATTAATTTTGTTGGTTTTGAAATTTTTGAACTCTTTTAAGACAATAAGAGATTTTTACATTTTTAGATGTTGGGACTTTCAAATTTTAAGATTTTGTGATTTTTAGAATTTGGGACTTTGGAATTTTCTTTGGAACTTTAAGACTGTGAAATTTTAGAATTTTTTCAGAAATTTGGAACTTTAAAATTTGGAAATTTTGAAAAATATCGTGGATAGTTAATCTAACAATGACAAGTTTCTTCTCTGAGCTTATTTTGCCTAACTCTGGATAATTATAAATAAAATGATACTAAATAGTAATAGTGATGGCAGCAGTAATGGTAAATGGTGACAGTGATAGTAATGATAAGAAGAGTTAATAGTAAATAGTGGTAATAATAATTATAACGAAAATGACAATAATAATGCTAGTAGCAATAATAATAGCAATAATAAAAGTAGTAAAAGTAATAATAGCAGCAATCTTAAACTTAAATATATAATTTTGAAACTATTACTCAAAATGCATTTTCAGTACAAGAAAAATATATAAATAATGCAATATCAATAATAATAATAATAAAAATAATAGTAACAGTAATAGTACTCAAACAGCAAACTCAAACATGCAATTTTGAAATTATCACTAGAGACACATATTCAATCTATGAATGCAAGTTATAGAATGCCATTAATAATAAAAATATAGTGCCAGTAACAATAATAAACATACTAACAGTAATATACAATAATAATAATAATATTCAAACAAACAATACAGAGTTTATCTACTACAACAGGTACATATTTACAAACATGATAAGTATATAAATAGCAGGATGTTTTGAGGATGTCTCTAAATTCAGGGTTAATGAAGTTGTGACGCACAGTATAATATTACTCACATGAATAAGATGTAACATTAATTCACGTCCAACGGCTTCGTTTCCGTGTATATTGGCTACATATTTCACATCAGGTTTACCGATCATATGTTCGTAAGGCGAAGACGATACAACCATTACCCACAAATCACGCCCTGTAAAATATGCTCTTCAAGTTACTTCCGCCTTGTTACCATAACAATTACTCTACACTCATATACATAATTTAATTCTTTGGAGATTAAAGAATATGAGGTAATGTCGCTGCGATACTCTCGATGTCTCTCGAAGTGAATAGGATACACAGACTTATGATAAATTGCACTTATAATATTAAAAAGGTAAGACATAATGGTAAGATTATATAGTAATAAGATTAAGAAGACTAAAGGTAAGATTATAACATTAAGATAAAAAGGGATTATAGAATGTAAATTGTACTTAATTAAAAATAACTAGATTAAAAGTTGATACCAAAAAACGTACATACCTTTCACAGACTTTCCTATAGAATATAAGGCAGTTAAGTTTTGAAAACGAAGAGAGGTGGCTCGTAGAAAACGACTCATTTGCTCGTAATTATGATATGTGAACTCGATGCTGTATGGTTCTTCATAAACGTGAAAACGAGCATTATAGCGGTTGGAAAGGTCTTTGCTAATGTGTTGTGAGGCGCCTGCGGTTTCGTGAAATGCTCCGAAAATGGGAACGAGGAAGAAGAAAATAACTTGATACATTCTGTGAACCCAGAAATTGTATAATTTAATAGTAACTAGTCAATATCGCGAAACTAATTTATTTAATTAAGAATACTGCTAAAAATAGATTTATAAAATCACTCATTTTTAATGTAATTTAAGAACTGTTATTATTTTGAAGCAACCTTGTTTCCAACAATTTTTTAATGAAATAGAAATAATATTTTGTATTTTATTTCTTATTCGAATTTAATTAAATTCCTTAACAATTTTACATGACATAAGAATTGTAACAATTGTTAAGATTTTATTACTACTTGTTAAAACTTTAATTGTTGTAAAATAATCAATTTTTTTTATGTTTTAGAAAATTATAATGGAGAAAGAATGATTAAAAATAAAAACCTAGTACTTGTTGAAAAATAATTATTATAAATAATTAATTTATGTAACATTTATGTAACAGTTCATGGAATTGAATATTATTAATGTCGAATGTTATATGCATTTTAAAATAATTTAATTTAATTTTTAATTTAATTATAGTTTAGTATAATTGAATTTTAATTATAGTTGTGTACGTGCGTTTTTAAACTAATACAGATTAGAATATCTTTCCCAAAAAAAAATAAATAATATGAAAATGTGAATACTGTAACGAGAAGTCTATTAAAAGGACCCGTAGTGAAACGAGTTTTCAAAATGGATTATCTCGAAAGAGAAGCGCCGCACGAAAAAATTGTATTGCAGATTTTTTATTTATTTTATCACATGGAATCAGTACCTTTGAACTGGTACCGCCAGTCACATGACTGCATATATAAAACGATAATAAAATGGTATCATTTCACGCGTGCATAAAACTAGATCAAGGCTTGACATATATCTACTTAAATCACACTGAAGTAGTAGCAACTACAGAAAATTGCCTACATCTGCACGTGCTAGATACTTAAGGGTCTTCCATACTTGTGTTTAATTTTGATGTGGTATTTTTATTATTTCCGAGTTGACAATTTGACTCTCGACGTAGCGTTTATATATGATTTTGAAGTTTAACTTTTTATCTGTTATGCTGAATATTATCTTCTACATCAAATTATCTCCGATATCAGATATTATAATTATCATAAAATTTAGCAATTTTAAAATGAAAATTTTTATCTTATTATTTTTATACATTCTATCAAATATATTAATTGTACTAAAAAAAATTGTTTAGTTTCGATATCATTATTCTTATATATTTTATTACATAGATATATCAATTGTAATTCAAAAATTAATAATTTTACTGCATTTCTAAGCTAGAAGTTTCAATTATAATTTTAACTTAATAGTAACTTATTGTTATGTACAAAATAAGAAGCTGCGTCATGTAAGGAAACTTTGATTTCGAAATTGAATTAACAATGGAGATACAATTTCAAATAAATAAATTTTTAAACGTTAAGTACTAACGTTCCTATTTTAGCAAAAAATCATTTTTAGAAATTGAAAATTTGAGAGAAAAGTCACAGTGATTATAAAATAATTTTTGAAAATACATATCCGATTTTTGGCGATCTATTCAAATTTGTATTACACTGATTCGACGTTTTTGCAACATTTTTATTAAAATACTTGCAATTTATTATTGAATATAAAATTTAATTATAAATATTGAAATTTAAAAAAAAAATTATGGCGATAGTCATGTATTTTAGTTTGGGAACACACGTTCGTATTTTTGGCGGTCTATTCAAATTTGTATTACGCTAATTCCGCATTTTTGCAACATTTTTACAAAAATACTTGCAATTTATTATTAAATATAAAATCTATTTTTAAAAATTCAGAATTTTAGATAAAATTATGCCATGTACTTCATTTTGAAAACACATTCTTTTTAGCGGTCTATTTCTGATACATTCATTTTTAATTACATTAAATATTCTCATTGAAATACTCGTAGCTTTTAATTACGATAGAAGATTGGAATGAAACAATAAAAAGTTATACGGTATATACGATTAAATCGTACTTTCGCGTTTCCTGTAACGAATACCGTTAACCTTTATAGAGGTTTTATATCAAAGTATCCGTTGATTGATCGATGACTAATTTCGTCCTGGTCCAATAATTGTAACCTATTTTCTTTTTTCTGGCAATGTCTCATATTTTTAGATGCCTGCTCGATCCATTTAATACATAATTATTCTCTTCGCTTCGGTGTCAATCGATTGAACGAAAACAAATCGCTGTTTGAACTTTTACAAGTATTTCATTAAAGTGTTGCAATATAATATTAACTAGCATCAAATCAAATACTATTTCTTTAACAACGTTTTTTATAAAACATATATCCTTTGCAATTTTAATTGATTTTATTGTAAGAGTTTAATCAACATTGCAAAATTAAAGATTATAACGCAAATTGAAAGTTCCTTTTAAATAAAGAAATAGACAATTAATTAATAACAGATAAAAATATTTTTCACGGTCATATTTTATTTTTCAATTTCTTCTTAATTTAAAAGGTTTCATTTTTCAGAATTGAGGTACTATTTTATTTCAGTTTATTTCAAAGTTGTGTATTATGGTAATTGGTCACAATAGAAAGAGAACGAGGCAAAATGGTACACTGTTTTACTCTTCTTACGATTAAACTTGGCCGTGTACTTTCTCTTGCATTTTTCAAACCTTGTTCATTACGTACAGTTCACAGAAGAAATGTTACATTTCCTAATAAACCAGTTCATTGTGTTGCGTCAATAACACAAATAGATTATTTAATAACTACAAAACTGCATTCAAGTACACAGTATATTACAAAATTTTTAAGTTAATTTGAAATTTAAATTTCTGAAACTTCAAAGATAAAAATTTACATTTAAAAAAGAACATAAAAATTGATAATAAAAGCTCCAAAGTTAAAAATTAAAAATTATTTTAAAAACATTTTGATGCTTCAAAACTAAAAATTAAAAATTATTCTTAAAAAATTCAAATACTTCAAAATTTGAATTCTTGCGCAAATTTTTAATTTAAGGATCAGTTTTGACGTTTGAAATTAAAAAACTTCAAAGTTAAAATTAAAAAATTCAGAAAATAAAATCTGCAAAGTTAAAATTTAAGATTGCAAAGCTACAAAATCAAATCCAAATTAAATATAAATTATTTAAATAAAAAACTGAATATTTAAAATACAAAAATTCACAAAATAAATATAAAAGAGTCTACACTGAAATTTAAACTATCTCCGTCTCAGTGATCCATCTAAAGATCAAACTTCAGTTTGCTCCGAACAGTCCTCAAAAAGAAATTTCTATTCGGCGTCAAAAATAAGCAGCGCAAAATAGCAAACATTCGGCAAAAATTTCATGCAAATTAAAATTCACTCGCGAGTGTTACCTGATGTTATCACGTTACAGCACAAAGTTGCAGAACACCTTTCGACTAAAAAAAAGGAGCGCACGGATGCAGCGAACAAAAGAAAAATGCAGGAAGAAATTGTTTAAAGATCCGCAGGAATGCGAAGCACGTGGCAAAAGAAAGAAAGCAACCGGAGAAATCTGATTCTTCGTTCAGACGGATCCTCTCAATGACATAGTACACCGGTAACAGTAGCAAGGCCGAGGCCGTCTCTCCTGTTTGAACACATTGGTTTTCTTCTTCTGTAAACACGTTTCTACGTTCTACTCATATAGAAAATAATTGTCCGGAACACAACGCGGTTTGTTTCACCTGCGAAGGTGCGTGATACTGTTGGAAACTTACAAAGAGAAGCTCGAAGTGTGCCGCGCGCTCCACTACCACCACCTTTTCCACCACTACTAATGAAAGCCACTTCCTTCGTCGCCTAGTATCTGATGTTCTAGAACGGCTAACTACCACATGTTCACCGTTTAGTAAATACGCAGTTAACACCATTGTACCTTCACTACCACCACTTTCGGCAAAACAATGAGTAACACACGAACGGTGTCATTCTGGCCCCTTCTCTTCTTTTCTCTTCTCTCATCCCCTCTCCCCCTCCCCCACTCCTCTCTCTCTCTCTTCTCCGTCATCAATTCACCAGCTTCCATATTTACCTACCTTTTTTTTGTCTTTTTCTGGTAGACGACCATTTCGGGTAGGTACCTCATTGTTACATATTTGGAGGACTTTTGCCATTTTTCTGCGAAATTAAGGTGTCAGTTGATGGAGGTCTCGCCATCTTCAATTTTTAGGTTGCTCGAAGTTTGTTTTCGTAATTTTATTTGATAATTTTATATGTTACTGAAGATTTTGGTAATTTTTGTTAGTTTGTGGATTTATGCTGATATTATTTTTTGGAGGTCTCTATCTCGCCATCTTCAGTTTTTAGGTTGGTCGAAGTTTGCCTCTGTAATTTTATTTAATGATCTTGTACGTCTCACTGGAGATTTTGGTAATTTTTGTTATTTGTGTGGAATTATGCTAGTATTATTCTTAGGAGGTTTCTATCTCGCCATCTTCAATTTTTAGGTTGGTCGAAGCTTGCCTCTGTAATTTTATTTAATGATCTTGTACGTCTCACTGGAGATTTTTGTAATTTTTGTTATTTGCGTGGAATTACGCTAGTATTATTTTTAGGAGGTCTCTATCTCGCCATCTTCAATTTTCACGTTGGTCTATGTTTGCTCCTGTAATTTTATTTAATGATCTTGTACGTCTCACTGAAGATTTTGGCAATTTATTTATGTGACATTATGGTGGCGTTATTTGAAGGTTTCTCTCTCATCAACTTTCATTTATGCCGAAAGTTTTTATTATTTGCGTAGATTATGGTGGAATTATGGTATCTTTCTTTGCATGTATCTTCTTCTGTATTGTGCATTCATCAGCTGCTATATTTGTCGAAAGTCTCCGTAATAAGATATCAAGTTTTTGGTAACACATGGTTTTCGTTTTTAGTTTTTGCAACATATTTTGGCAACTCTTGTTGTTTTTGCAGAATTACCGTGGCGTCATTCGTTTCTGGTTTCTTCTTGTCGTTCATTCATCAGCCTCCATATTTGTCTCAATGTTTCTTTTTAACATATGTAACAATTTTCTACATTTTATTGTAAATTATCTTAATAATTTTTGGTATTTGAATAGAATTAAAGTGGTGCTGTTCATTTGAGAAGACTCTGTCTCGTTTCTTCTTGCCATTTTTAACACCTTCTATACTTACCTAAATTTTACTTTTTAATTTTTGATAGTAGGATACTTAAATAATTTTTGTAATTACTAGTGTCTCCCCGCCATTATAAAATCCTATATTTCTCAAATCTGAATTTTTCATCTTAATGAACAATTTCTGATATTTTGTCTTTGTTCATGTTCAAGAATTTTGTATACTTCATCCTAAGATATTAAAATTTGTGTAATTTGCGTGAAATTGAAACAATTTTCAGAAGTTTTTTCATTATCTCTCCCCGTCATTATACTCATAAACTTCTACATTTATCTAACTTTGTCGTTGTTACGACAATTAATCATTTTTGGATACTTATTGTCATTTTTATGTGTAATTAAAATGGAGTCCTAAAAGCCTCTCCTTCAATTTTCTTCTTTGTTACAAACAGCTTCTATATTTACTTAAATGTCTATATTAATTATTATATTCCTTTCTATATTAATTAATAATTTCTGATACTTGATTGTTGGATATTTAAGTAATTTCCATTTTTACGTAAAATGAGACTCTTTTTCTCTCCGTCGCGTTTCTCCCTTTCTTTTCTCCGTTATGAACTCTTCAGCTTCCATATTTACTTAACTCTGCCTCAGTTATGTCAGTTAATAAATTTTAATAAGTTAATACTGTAAAATTGCAGGACTTTTGTGTCTACTGTATCATTCATGTTTGTTTTTAGTCTCCCCCTTAATGAAATTATTATATCATTATCATGAAATTATCAGCTTTCATATTTCATAATTTCTGATACAAAATTGTTGAATTCTTAAATAATTTTGTAAACTTTAAAACCTCCTGTACTTATAATTTTATATTTATGTGAATGGTTTATATGAAGTTATACATTTTTTAAATGCTAACTTTTAAAATATCATTCTTCTACATGAAAGTTACTTCATAAATAGTTACTATGATGAAGCACAGTATTTCCTTTTTAAGAACTCACATACATTAGCCTCCAAGTAAATTCCATTGAAGCTCATTTTTTGAATATTATTTATTAAAAATAAAGTACAGCAATATAACAGTTTCAAACTCAAAATGGCTTACATTAAAAACATACTAAAGTATTTAAAAATAAGTACAATACATATTAAGCATTTTTATTTTTATTTAACAAGCTTAGAAACAATCCAATATTATTTTACTATTTGATATTATTATAATTATACATCTTGAACTGAACTGTATCATTTTTGGTATGACCTCTTTTGGTCAAACTGGTTAACCTATAAAGTACCGTTCTTCTTTCTGTAGCTGAAGTTTGAACCTCTGCGAAAAATATAAGAAAATGTAGTACTTTTATTCTTTTTACTGTTAAATACTTACAAAATACACTGTTTTACTCATTTTAGCACTACAATAATTAATGGTACACTCAATTTTAGTAAAGATTCATTAAAATTATTGGTTAAATATTATTTTCTCGGATATATATTCATTTTTTAATGTCAAACGTTATTTTATAAATGTAACCTTCATTTTTGAATTTATATTCATTTTCGAGTGCCAAATATTATTTTTCTCTGTATATATTCATTTTTTAATGTCGAATATTACTTTTTCACATCTCTACTCATATTTTAATATTAAATATAATTTCTTCAAACATGTACTCATTTTTAACACAGTACGTGAATTCAAGCAGTTAATTCATTACTTTCAGTTAGTAAAATTAACAAAAATGTAATGCATCATATTCTTCTATTTTTCAAACATCTCATACTTTGTTCATGAAATTAATACGAAAGCATTACAAGTATGTCAATGATCTTTGCTATCATTTTAATCGATAAAATAACTGTTTCATTTTATCCAAATATAAAAATAAGTAAATAAGTAAAATATACACTTTTTAATATACAATGTACGTTTAATATAAAACAGAAGCTTTTTAATATATAATGTAACTTTAATGCAAGGTACAAATTACATTTTGTAATATAAAGTGAAAACTAATATTAAATAAACTTAACCTCTTAACAATTTTAAATAATTTCACCTCCTCGAATACTTAAATAATTTCGTCTCCTCAAGTACTTAAATAATTTCACCTCCTCAAATACTTCATTTCACCGTTGTGTGCAGTAGATTTAATATCGAAACGATTAAAGACTTCTTTGTTACGATACTCAAATATCAAGGATCGTTAGTTCATTTGAGTGAATACGAAGTGGTTTTTCCGTCAAAATCCACGTGTTCAAAATTTTTTCCTTGCACGTGACCGCGTATGCAAAAGTAGCTCTAGCGTTAAACGAGAAACCTACTTTACAAAATCTGAAAACAGAACGCGATATACGAGAAATGGCCGCATATACGTACAAGTTCGCCTGAAATAATGGTACCGTATGAATATGAGAGAGAAAGTAAGTGGAACACAATTTTCGATTCAGTGAAATGGCTTTTCCTTCATCGGTTGTGTCGTCGATTTAAAATTTAAATTGAATTTTTAAACGAAACTTTTATCGAAATCTCGCGCAAGGTGTTACAAATATTAATTTTAGAAAATTATTTCTACGAGTACAATATTTATAATCGAATCGTTCTAATTTTCAATTTTAAATTTCGAGTTTTAGATTTTAAGATATTCTCAGATTTCACAGTTATTTCAACGAAATTCTTTTGTACAACACTTTTTATATTCTGTTTGACTAATTACGAAGATTCTAATTAGTTCTAAATATAATTACAATATGACTAAATAGTGTGGAACAAAAATAGTACAAAAGGAGAAAGAAAATAAGTAGTAGAAATAGCAATGAAGAATAAAAAAGTAAGTAAAAATATAATACAAAATTGTTGTTTATAGTACAAAATTATTTCAGAAATTATCTAAAGCAAATTATATACTGAGTGTAGTTTGAATATTTTATTTAAACAGTGTATTTAATCAAAATGGAAGAACTTGTCAAATGTCGGCCATTTTGAAACGTAAACGCTTAGTGTACAGTCCTAGTCTTGTATTACGGTCTTTCAGCAGCGGAGTCCTACGATTTTCAATTCGAAAGGAAGATTTTGTGAATGTTAAGTATTCTAATTCGATGTCCAGAGTCTATATCGGTAAATGGGTCAGTAGTGGTAAATGTTACCCCCAAAACATCCCTAAAACGTTCCAAAAAAGATATTGAGACCAGTGCCCTACTACCAGTGCTTATCACATCACACTGTTGGATGGATCGTTGAACCCTGAAGTATGGAACACGTTTGAAAAAAAGAATTCCAGTCAGAAGTGTGTCACCGCAGTGTATGATACTAGCTGTAGGTAACGGAAGTGGGGGCGATGGAAGGAGGAAGAGAGCGGGGAAGGTTGGTGAAGAGAACCTCTCACGGTCGATGATCTACCTTGAGATGACCACGGACCTCATTCTTAAAGGTCAGAGGATATTTTCAGCTGCGAAATTTTAGATACTGCGGCTGATTAAATTATTATAATTGAATGAAGAATAATCACGTTTTGTCGCATTACTGATGTCATCCCGACGTACGCGTCGACATGTCTTAAGAAAATTATTTGTTCGAGATGTGTGCTTTTGTATAATTATTATCGGCTATATTTAAATAGAACTTTACTATTCAGTGCTTTGATATCTGTTAAAGCATATTATTTGATAATTATTATACAAGCTAATAGGAGATGAGATGTATCTACGTTTTTAATGTATGAATGGAAATTGATTTTATGGTTTCTTTATTTACTTTCGTATACAACTTTTTTAATTTTGGAAGAAAAGAGCTTTTTCCACAGGTGGTGCTAAAAAGATATTAATAAACTAATTTTGTAGTAAAAATATTTGTTTAAATAGAAATATAATATTGTGCATTTGCAATCTTTTCAAAATGTACGACAAAAAGTATTAATTACAGAAGGTAAGAAATGTTTTCAATAATTTTGGTATGAAATTTGTTGTTCACGTATGTTTTACAAAGTAAGAGAATGTTATGCAGCATATTTAGGACAGAACACGAATCAGTACATGAGTACTAGTGAAGTAATGAAGAAATTGTGAAGATGTTATAATAATTATTATTATTACCATAACAGTAGTAATTATTCGTAAGTTTCATAAATAGTTATAACAATAATTATTATTAAATATTAAAATTGGTTAACAATACATTAACAATTGTATTTACTGTAATTCTAAGTCTTACAGTTCAAAGTATTACTTTCTTGCCTTGAATTGTTTAAACATTTTTTACCAAAATTATTTTATTAATTATGGAAGGTTAATAAAGATTAATGAAAGTGATAGAAATTATGCTACATCGATCTAAAATCTAAGATGTGAAAATTCTCAATTCAAAAAAATAAATAATGATTGCAAGTTACTTATATTAGGAATAACAAAATTTCATAACATAAAAGTATCTTAAAATGGCACTTACATTACATCAATTTAAAGCTTATAGTCTGACCAAAAATTATACATAAGATCCACATTAACATTCTCAATACAAAATGGCTGAGTGACTATTAAAGTAAATAATGAGTTAAAATTAAATTGCTATATTACTTATTTTAAGAACGACAAAATTTCATGACATAAAAGTATCTCAAAATGGCACTTATATTACATCAATTTATAGCTTAGAGATTGATAAAAATGACTATATAAAATTCACGTGAGTAATCTTAGTACAAAATGGCTGAATAGCTATTAAAGCAAATAATGCATTAAAGTGATGTTTGTATATTTCTTTTTTATAAATATCACAATTTGATAACATAAAAGTGTTATAAAATGATGCTTATGGCATATAAATTTGAAGCTTGAAGTTTTTTAAAAACAAGTACGTTAATTTTATATCAACATTCTTAATACAGCACTTATAATTATTGAATAACTGAAGCCATTATTCGTAAAATGATAAATTTCCATTTTTAAATTTCAAGTTTATGAAAAATTCCATTTTTTAAGTGTACAAGGTTTTCTGATATTATTATTAATATTATAATATAATTAACTGTTTTATATTAATAAACTATATATAATTGCTTTATGCCAAATTTTTATTAATAACGTCTTAATTTTTGTATTTGATATACACTCTTGTAGATTCGATCAATAAATTGATTCAAAATTATAAAAATATTTGTAACAATTCATTATGTAATGAACAAATGATTTGCAAAAAGTAGTATGAACCTTACAAACAAATTCAATCATACGAATAAATATTACAAATTAGCAGTTGAATAATCAAATTAATAATTTACGATATTACATATAACTTAAATGACAAGAATAAATGTTGCATGTACTTCGTTGGTATAACTTCAGTAAGTTTCAAATTTTATTGTGATTTAAAATAGTATTTTGCTCTCTCTATTCCCATGCAAGTAAATAATTTTTTAATGTACAAAGTATTTATTACAATTTTATATAATTGCTAACCGCTGAGTGACATATGTACTGCACCAGAACACAATGTTGGACGCATACTTGTAGTCCATTTTAAATACGTTTCAAAACGGTAGACACTTGCGATTCTGGCCAATGTAATTGGTGAAAGGTTTGTTTTCTAGATATAATGGGGACCAAACTGTCCAATGTAGTTTTTTGACTTGTACCCTTGAAGAGAGCAGTAATACATCTTTCGTGCGACAACCTAAGCTCAAGTCAATGCAACACATTAATTTTTTACAATCTCGAATTCATATAAAATAGTAAAAACGGTGGTGAATTGCTACAGTATTTAATACTAATTTTGAACTACAATTTTGAAATTATAACTACATAATTTCTATAAGCAATTTTGCTCTTAATCAGTGAACAACTTATTTTATAACAGTGTAATTTTGTAATAGCTTAAATAAATAATATTAAACTTACATGATACTAAACTAATCATTATAAATTATTTCTTAAACATGTGGCTTGGTGTTTTGTGTCTTTTGACTGTGTTAATTTTGAAAGTACTATTCGATTACAATCGACCTGTAAAGTTTCCTCCAGGTATTAATTCTCACTTTAAAAAAATTCATAAAATAAATAAATTTTAAGGTGTCATTTCTTTAATGTCCAAGGTCCACGAGGTTTACCGATTATTGGGAACATTCTTGATGTTGTTAATTTAGTGAAAGAAACAAAATCTTTGTCCGACGTTTGGTGTCGATTAGCCGAGAAATATGGACCGGTTGTTGGTCTCAAATTAGGCTTCGATGAACCGTTAATTATTGTTTCTGGAAAAGCTGCCATTACGGAAATGTTACATCGATCTGAATTTGATGGGAGACCAAATTCATTTTTATTTAAGTTTCGGACTGGTGGTACTCGACAAGGATTATTATTTACTGATACCAATGTCTGGCACAGTCAAAGAAGGTTAAACAAATTTTATTTTTATAGAGAATTAAAATTTTCTATTTTAACTAGTGTTATCCATTTAATTACGCGTCCATCTAACTAGAAAAAATTATATTAATAATTTAAACAAGTAGTAATACAAATAATAAGTTTTCCATTTGAACGTTTCACGTATGCGTGTACACATTGTGACATACATAATATAAATTATAGTACATTATCTATACTTAACTATAGTATATATAGTATTATAGTAAATTGTATCTCTTATTGTTTCTTATTAAAACAGAAAATAGAACATTTCAACTGTACATCAATGTTCATTTTTAATTAATAATTTCAACGAACGGAAGTGTCAGTACTTCCTACGTTCATCAGCCGAAGTAGAATATAAATATCTATTATCCTTGCATCTATTTAATATTTAAAATATTTTTCTCGAGTATTTTCTATCTTTATGAAACATGTTAAATTTTAATTACGTCTTACATTATACTATAATTGAATATGTATGGAAATTTTTGCTTCCTAATATCGTTTCTGTATTCATTATACATATTTTATAGCATATTTCATATTTTATTCGAACAGATTTATTTTAAAAACCTTGAAGGAATTTGGTTTTGGCAGACAGACAATGGAACACGTTCTTCAAGAGGATGCAATTATGTTAACGAATATCGTTACTGAATTAACAAAGACAGGAACTGCGACAAGTATTCAATCTATCATTAGTGCAGCTGTTTTGAGTAATCTGTGGCTTCTTATTGACGGTACAAAGTATGAAATTAAAATAATATCAAAATATAATATTCGTTAGGTTATGGCGGATCAAATTGTTAATTTCAGAATGTAAAAGTTTGGCGGTGTTTGATAATTTAAAAGTATCACAAAATGGCGCTTATGATATGTCGATTTAAAGCATAAAGTTTCATGTAAAAGTTTCGTGTGTAAAGGTTTTATCGCTTTAAGCATAAAATGTTTGAATGACAATTAAAACAAACAGTGAATTAAAGTAAAAGCACTTCTGTTATTCTTTTACTAATGGTACCATTTCATGACATAAAAGTATCACAAAATGGCGCCTACGGTATATCAGTTTAAAGCATAAAGCCTCAGCAAAATACTACATAAAATTAATATCGAGATTTTTAATATAAAATGGTCGAAACACTAGTAGAACAAATAATAAAACAAATTGAAAATTATATATTATTTCTTTTGATAACAGCACCGTTTCATGACATAAAAGCATCACAAAATGATACGTTTTGTATATCAATTTAAAGCTTAAGGTTTAAAGAAGACAGGTACATAAATTTTTCATTATCATTTTCAAAACAAAATGGTTGAATCATTATTAAAGAAACAGTGACTCGAATTGCAAGTATTCCTTCACCAACGGCACCATTTCATGACATAAAAGTATCACAAAATGGCGCTCATGCCGCAATAAATCAATGCTTAACGTTTAAGGAAAATAACTGTGTAAATATTTCGTTTATATTTTTAGTACAAAATGGCTGTCACTAACAACAAGCAGTAGTAGTGAAATTCGCAAACACAAATTTCGTTCATCACTTTCCGCAGTGAAAGTTGCTAACAATTTAACACGATATTTGTAGAAAGTGTAGATAATGAATGCAAAATACGGTGTTAATTAAATAAATTTCCGTCAATATGAATCTCTGCAGTAAACTGTTTAGAATGTTCACACGTGACTCGTATTTACTCGCAGATGATTTTTCAAAAAGGCACTTTTACTGTTAAATATTATTTTGAAGTAATATGTTAAAATCAGCCATTTCTTCTGCAACAACCTAATTTAATTAACAACCTATTACTTCAGTTAATTAAATTGCACAGGGAATTTCAAAGAAAGTATTAAAACATTAATGTGAAATTATAAAATGTTACATTTATTTATAATAATAATACAAGCTAAATAGAAGATAAAATATTTTGTTAAAATTTTACACGTTTGATGTCAATCTTGTTCTTGTTCACACTTTCAGATCCAACTGTGTAATATTACACATCGCAGCTTCTCTATGATGTATAACACTGCACACTTGTGTTTGAAAGTGTTAAAAATTTGTATGTGAATATTAACACATTTTTTTAAATACCTTATTCAGATTCGACGTAGGTATGGAAAGTCCGATGTTGAAGGAAGCTATAAACATTTTAAAAGATCTTAACAGCAGTTCAAATGTTTCTGGCGGGATTTTGAATCAGTTCCCTTTCTTGAGGTATCTATTTCCAAAGTGGACTGGATTCTCAATGCTTGCGGAACGACAAAAACGCATAAATAGTTTCTTCATGGTATGTGCGACGAATTTATAATTTATTAAATATAGTTATATTTTATAGAATTGGCAGTACATTGATCTAATACTTACTAATTTTAATTTTAATATTTTTTCATATTATACATATAAAGAGTTGTACACTCATATAAATAAGTTTAAATAATTTATTTAAAATTGTTGCTACTATATCCATGTTGTAACGTGTACAATTACATTTACAGAACGTAGTAACAAAACACAAAGAAACGATAAACGAATTAAAAGACAAATACACAAATTTCATAGATGCTTATTTGCAAGAAATCGAAACTCGCAAAACAAGTTCATCTTCTTCATTTTTTAACGGTAATTTAATCATTTACCATAAAAATATTCTAGACAGAATTTGATAGAAAAATTTTGCTTTCACAAAGTGGCAACTTTTGAAAGATTTCAATTACTTTATAATTAAAATTTCTTTAATTAGTACAACAATTGTAACATTTAATTAAAGATCACTACTCTGTAGATTGCATATTTTTTTTTCAATAGAAAATCAACTGGTATACGTTGTGAAGGATTTATTCGCTGCCGGTGTAGACACGACTGATAATACAATTGGCTTCGTGATAGCATTTCTTGTAACGTATCAAGATGTGCAGCGTAAAGTACACGAAGAGATTGACGAAGTTATTGGCAGAGATACGTATCCTTCTCTGAGCGATAGTAACCGGTAATAAATACATAAAAATACGTGCATACATATCAAACAATATAAAATTATAATAAATACACAAGCTTCATTAATCGTTTTCATGCGTTTTACAGAAATATTAGTTTGTTCAAATATGTGTGCATTCGAAAATCTGTGAAATCTGATTGAACTGAAATTTTGTTTCATTTTGCACAGGAACAAGCTTCGAGAAAAAGATTTTTGACGATTTTAATAATATGTTAACATTTTGCTGTCATTCTCTGTTTTAACAACATAGTTTAAGCTAAAGTAAGTTCGATAAGGTAGAGAATGACAAAATAATGAAAAGATTCTTATAAATATTATTTCTATGCAGAATGAAACTATTTGCAAAATTTCAACACAAACACAGCTTTTCGTTCATATGACGTTTCGAACAAAATCTTTTTGTTTACACATTTTTAGGTTGCCGTACTTAAAAGCTGTTTTATCAGAAGTGTGGAGATTAGCGAACATTGGTCCAACTTCGATTCCGCATCGAGCAATAATCGACTCCAATTTACTAGGATTTGAAATAAAGAAGGATTATACTTTATTAGCGAACCTCAAAAGTGTACATATGGATAAAGAACATTGGGGAGATCCAGAAGTCTTTCGTCCTGAGAGGTTCATCGACTCAAAAGGACAATTTATCGAAGACTCGTGGCTCATTCCTTTTGGCTTAGGTAAATTTGTTTCTGTCAGAAGTAAAATTAAATAAACTGATTCTCCATTTTCTATAGGTCGTAGGAAATGTTTAGGCGAAACTGTAGCAAAACGCACTACTTTTCTTTTCATAGCGAGTCTGTTGCAGAGACTCCATTTTAAATTGCCAGTGGACCATCCGAAACTTGGTCTTCGAGGCGTCGAAGGATTCGTAATTATGCCACCCAAGTTTGAAGTCATTGCTGTACAAAGATATTAATTTTATAAAATAAGAAAATACCAAAAGTAGGCAAAATTTATAGCATCAAAGATTTGAACAAAATAAATGGAGTTTTAATTTAAACGCGAATGCTGGCATTTGACTTTTTTTTATGAGTCGAAACTGGTTTGTTTCTTAATTTATGTATGCACGATAATTATACATATTAATGTGTAAAAAAGTACATACATTGAGATATACAGATTTATTACTAGGTCTGTTTGATTAGGCGCTCCGCGCCTAACCTAACAGTGTTGAGCGAGCGAGTAAATTTAACGCTAAAGCAAAAATAGTCAACCGTGTCATCCGGTTGAATTGGTTGAGTGGTGTAAAAGAAAAGCGTGGATAAAAAAATTGAAAAGACAAGTACATAAGCGCGAGCAAATTCAATTTTGCATTAAAGTCTACGAGGATATGGTTTTTCGGTAATTATTCCTCCGTGGCATGCGCGGGCGGCGCGTAGGAGGAATATACACGACAATGAGTATGCAAAATCGTTAATTACTCATTTTCTGAGCACAGTTTATGAACTTTTATGATTAAAGAATGGTCAGCAATGTATTATTTACATGGTTCGATCATAAAAGTTCATAAATAATGTTCGGGTAATGAGTAATTAACTATATTGTGTCAGCATTGCGATACGTACATGAGCCGCCTATGTCAATTCTACTGCACATGCAAAGTGCAATATTTCGGCACTTTGTCGACGCAGTATGGTTCTGGAGGCATTTAGAAACAAATTTCTATTACAGTTTGATGCATTTTGATGCCTAATAAAGCCAGAAAATCAATTTTTGTCGAATTCGGTCGAAAGCGGTACATGTGGCGCCATCTAGCGGCGAGCGGCGGAACTACGAAAAAATAAAATTTCGATTTTCTTGAAAACTAGCGAATTTTAAGTACTTCCGAGGGTCAGAAATCAATCTGTGACCTCTCCGGAACCTATATGATGCCACAAGAACCTCCTAAAAGTGCTAGAAAAGAAAATTAAAAACGTAGTATGCTTCTTTAGACATTTTAAAGAAATTTTTGTTGAATAAGTCATTCATTTTTTTCCCTATTAAGCCCAGAAAACCAATTTTTATTTGACCCCTTAACGCGTGTTCGGACATACGTTTTTCCAGTTTAGTTCGCAGTTTCGCCGCTAGATGGCGCCACAAATTTTCTCCATAAAATGACATTTTTTTTATTTTCTTTATTAAAGCCTTTAGGAAGCTTTTGTTGCATTATTTTGCTTCTAATGCGATCACATAACACTTTCTGAGCCTCGGAAGTATTCAAATTTCGCTAATTTTCGAGAAAATTGCATTTTTATGTTTTTGTAGTTCCAACTTTCACCACTAGATGGACGCCAATTTTTTAGTCCATG